TTTCTAAGACCTGTTTATGCAGGAAATGCAATTGCATAAGTAAAATCAAATGATAAAGTGAAATTCATTTCATTTAGACCTACTAATTTTGAAGAAGTATATAATAATAATATTTTATTAGATTCAATAAGTAGGAGAAAAAGTATCAAATATTGTATAAGTAAAAGTAGAAAATACTAAATAATTGATTGAACATGTTTCTGATGAATTAGTATAAAGTGATAAGCCTGAATTGACTACCGCTAAATTTGTATATCTTATTTATCATAGTAGATTGTTTCTGGAGGTAGAGGATTAGGAAGCAAAGAAAACTTTAAAATATTAGATGATTTAGCAGATGTTTTGGGTAACACAGCAATTGGTGCTTCTAGGGCTGCTGTTGACGCAGGATATGCTGCTAATGATTAATAAGTTGGATAAACAGGAAAAGTTGTTGCACCTGAATTGTATATTGCTGTAGGAATTTCAGGGGCTATTTAACATTTAGCAGGAATGAAAGATTCTAAAGTTATTGTAGCTATCAATAAAGGTATTTCAAATACATATATCTATTATTATTATAGATTCAGAGGCACCTATTGTTAGTGTTGCTGATTACACCATTGTTGATGATTTGTTTAAAGTAGTCCCAGAGTTAACAAAGAAAATTAAAGAAATTAAATAATGATATAAATGACGTAATTATATAAATAAAAATAATGAATAATTACATCATATTCATGATACTATTTTGAATATCAATTTTATTCATTTGAAAATGTTGAATTCATTTTAAACCCATTACGAATATAATAATTTAAAAGCCTCTTCCTAATTTATATTACTTAATTTATGGTTTTCATATATATATATATATATAAATTTTGTCAATTTATTATTCAAAAATTATGTAAATTTTTTGGTTATTGTTTCAAATATGGTTTATAATTTTGAATATTTTATGAAATCATTTCTTCTATTTATCTCTTGTCAATTTTTGGCTATATTTTCATGCATTATTGAATATATTCTAAATAAATAAAAAAGAGAGGATTTATGGATTATATAATTATGAGTTATTTAACTAAACTTCTGATGATGATAATCAATTGAGGAACTCAGGTTTGTTTATTTTGTTATTGATTATAATATGTCATATGATATTTGTGACGTTATATAAATAAATATAATGAATAAATACATAGTATTGTTGATACTCTTTGGAGTATGCTTTAGTTCTAGTTTATCAAATTAAGAGAAATTCTTTTGTAAATAATGTCATAAGTTTGTCCATACAATCTAAAAGGTTGAAAATTTTTGGGATAAGTCAATTGTTTGGTTTTTGGAACTTGTTGCAGAAGGAATCTGTGCTTATGCTAAAATAGAAAAGCATTCAGTATGTAAAGGTGCAATTCATGAAATGACACCTGTAATATTTGAAGGAATTCAAACTAGATACTTAGATGAAGATTTCATTTGTCCTTTAATTAGATGGTGTCCAAAAGTTTATGAAGAATTAAAACTTGAAGATTATATTTCTAATATTTTAAAAGATAAACCATAAAATACGAGATGGCCAGAAATAGATGGAACTGATACAATTGAAATTATACATGTTAGTGATATTCATACAGATTTGTTATATAAAGAAGGAACTACATAAAATTGTGATGAACCAGTATGTTGTAGAGAAGGACTTGAAGAAAAAAGTTACAATCGTAAAAAAGCTGGATATTGGGGAAGTGATAGAAATTGTGATTTACCAGAAAGAACATTTGAATAATTTGTAAATTTCTTAAAAACAGATGTTATTAATCCAAATAAAAAAACATTTTTATTTTGGACTGGAGATAATGCTCCACATGATGTTTGGAAATAAGGAAGAGAATATAATTTTTAAAATTCTAGAAGAATTACAGAAATTTTTAAAAAAGCTAATTTGGGTGTAACAATAATACCTTAAGTTGGTAATCATGAAATGTTTCCTGTTGATCAATATGATTATATGACTGATAAGGATAGTGGTTTAAGAGTTGAATTTTCTAAAATGTGGAAAGAATGGCTTGGAGATGAAACTGCATAATTTTTTAGAGAAAATGGGTTTTATGCATTAGAATTTGATAATTTTAAAGTTATTGCTTATGATTCTTAAGTTTGTAATCCTGACAATTGGTACCTTCTCAAAGATCCAACTGATCCATCAGGATTTTTAGAATGGGCTGAATAAGAATTGAAAAAATCTGAATTAAAAGATTAAGCTGTTTATTTTATGGCTCATATTTATACTTAAGAATGTTTAGTTCCTTGGGCTAGAAGATTTAATGCCTTAATTGAAAGATATTCTTATAATGTTAGAGCATAAATATATGGACATGCTCATGGAGAATTCTTTAATTTATATAAAGGTTAAAATGGAAAACCAATGAATATTGCTTACATTAGCTCTTCATTAACAACATATAATAATAAATTACCAAGTTTTAGAAAGTTTATTGTTGATGCAAAAACTATGATTCCTTTAAATTATTATTAATATCGTTTAGATTTAGATAAATATAATTATATTGGAGAAGGTGCTATTTTGAAATGGGATATTGTATTTGATTTTCTTACTGAGTATGGAGTAACAAAAATGTATCCAGAAGATTTACATGGAATAACAGAGAGATTATTTAATGAACCTGAATTATTAAAGAAATTCGATTTCAATTAGAATTCAGGTACTGGATTAGCGTTTGATGATGTATTAAATATTTAATATTTGTAGGCTCTAGAATATTTTTGTTTGTTAAATAATTCCATTAAGGATGAATATAGAGTATGTAAAGGTTATGTTATGAAAAAATCATGGACTGAATACATTTCCCCAGGGTGGAGAAAAAGAATTGATAATCCTGAAAAGAATGATAAAAAGAAAAAAACTAAAAAAAAAAAGTAGTAGAAAGAATGATTTATAAAATAAGAAAAATATTAAAATTATATTATGGATTTTTAAGAGTAGGATAATTAATTTCTAGTAGATGATCATATATTTAATATAAGAGGATTTAAAAGTCGATTATTAAAATCTTTAATAGAATGATAATGAAATTAGAACATGCGTCAAATTATTTAATAGATACTAAGATTACCAAATATAATTGCTATCTAAAGAGAAAATAACAAAGAAAAATTACAGATTAAAAATTAGAATATATTCTTCCTAAAATTCCAAAATAATAAGAAGAGATTAATTTTAAAGAAAAATATTAAGTTTATTTAAATTTGGAAAGAATAATAAAAAAAAAGAATCATAGTTAATTTTTAAAGAAAGGATAGATATGAAATTGAATGGTCATTATTACCAATTTATGTTACTTAATTATTAACTATATATAAAAGTGATTAATATAGTAAAGAAGAAATAGAAATATATAGAATTTTGTCATTAATTGGCATCATATATAGTTAAATTAAAAACTAAAAAAACATCGATTCAATTAAGAGAAAGATGGTTAAAATTTTAAAGTAAAACTATAAAAAGATAAAAGATTTGAAATTAATAATTTTGGTAGACTTTTTTAGGTGTTGGATAATGGAATAAATTGTATAAGTTTATCAAGAATAGAACTGAAATTTAAATAAGAAAAAAGATGGTGTTATTTATTAGATTCTGAATTTAGAAATATAAATATGGACATGTGAGAAGAACAAGAAGTTTTAATTTTGAATTAGAAATATGGAAATGTTTAAAATATTGTGAGTTTAATATTAGTAAAAGAGAAAAGATAATGAATGTAGAAGAAGATTTCAATAAATAAAAATATGATTATATAAATTTATATACTTTTATATATTTAATGATTGATAATCCATTTTAGTTTGAAAGAGATCCAAAAAAGTTTACCAATTCTTTGGAATATGATAGAAATGCTATTGAAGAGGAGGATGATTAAAAATAATAAACAAGATTAACTTAACTCTATATTGGTAAATCAGCTAGTAGATATGGATTATTGAGAAAATTAGAAGAGTAGAGTAAATTTATTTAATTTAGCTTAAGCTGAAAAATTGGCAGTAGAAAGAGATCTTGTATTTTCTTAGGATTTTAAATCAAAAAGTTTTAATGTAAAACCAGATCCTATTACATGTCATTTAAAACAATTTAATCCAAGAATGCTTGAAAAAAATTATTAAGATTCTTTATAAAAAGCTTATAAAATAAATAGTATTTTAGGTGAGAAAAAAGAAACTCTTTAAGATTTTGTTGAAAAGAAAAGAGAAATTTGTTTAACTAATCTAAATATTTTAACAAAAAAAGAGGAAACTAATCGACTTGAAGATTTTATTAAAAATGAATAGGAATCTTTGAGAGCAAGAAAATTGTATTTTAAAAATGATTGTGAATTAGTAAAAAGATTTATGAGTGAAGTTAAATCTTAAGCAGATTAAGCTGCAATTTTAGCTGATAAAGAAGTAAGAAGAAAAGAAGAAGTTAAAGTTGAAGTAGCTAGAATTTTAGCATAAATTGATAGACTTAAATTATAGAAAAGTAAACTTTAAGATGAATATGATAAATTAGATAAATATAGATAATTTTTAGAGAAAATTAAAGTAATATTGATACATTATTTAGTAACATTTTAGAACTAAATTTTCAGAGATTGAAAAAGACATAATTTTACCATAAACAACACCAAGTTCAAAAAAAGCATTATTTTTAACAGGAGTTAATGTTTTATAATCTGAAATTAGATCAAAAGAATAAATAGAATAATTATAATTTGAATATAAACAAAATAAAATGGCTGATATTGTAATAGAGATATTAGATGCTATTGAGGAGGGTAATTTAAGAAATATGTAAAATCAAAGGGATGCAGAAGAGGAAATTGAATAAAAAAAAAGAGAGGCTGAACATTTAAAGTAGATATTGACAATACATCAAAAAGAAAATGAATAAAGATTTAAAATATTGGAAAAGCAATATATAATGCATTAATAATATCAATAAGAATTATAAAAATAAGAAAAGGTTGATTAAAATAAATTAGAATTTGCAGAAGGTGAAAATCTTGATATGGATAGAATTGGAAAAAGAATTATAGAAATTTATTCAGATGTTTCTAAAAAAGAATAAGATCCTTTAATTAAAAAATTAGGAATTGATTCAAAAATGCTTAAATTAACTTTGAATGTAATATAATATAATTACTAATTAGTAACTTGAAAAAATAGTATTAGAACTATCAGAATATAAATTATAATTTCTTATGAAATCAAAATAAGATTATTTAGATGCAGAAAAGAAGATTAATTTAAAAAAAAAGTAAATTATTTTTAATTTCATTTTAGAGAATAAAGATAAACAAATTAAAAAGATGAAGAAAAGAAAAAACAAATAATTGAAAGAAGAAGAAAAAAGGAAGAATAAATGGCTAATTTTTATAGAGGAAGAAAAGACATGAGAAGAAATTATCCAGCTGAAAAAGTTGTAGTAGAAGAAGTAGTGGAAGATAATGATGAAAATGATGATGAAAAATACTTTTAAGAATATTATGAACTTGTATATGTTCCATCATAGAAAATTGATAATGTTTCATAATCATAATAATTATAATTATAATAATAATGAATTAATGTATGGATTCATTAGAATTGTTAAATTTAAATAGATCAACTATTTAAGATTTCAATATTCCAAATATAAATTCAGAATCTAAAATGCCAAATAGAAATTACTCTTAAACTTAATTGAATTCTTATAAAATTAGATAAAATACATTAAGCACTTGTCAGAATTCTTAAAGAAGTTTAAAATTATAAACTAAAGATAACGGATATCATCGGATTGCCTATTAATAATAAATTAAGAAAAATCAAATATCATTAAAAACAAAAAGATCTGTTTCATCTATTTCTAGTACATCTTCAATGCAATAATCATTTCTTAAAATGGAAGAAAAAATGAGAAAATTCAAAATGAATCATCCAGAAATAATAGATCAAAAATATATGATATCTGGATATCTAGAATTATCCAAAGATTATAAAACCTTAGTTCTTACTATTAGAAAATATGGATAAGATTTAGATGCTGTCTTAAAATTTGGATTAAATGATTTAAAAGAAGATAATATTAATAAGATTGATTAATTCTTTGAAAATCACTCGAACTTATTATAAACTAAAGTAGATGATTATTTTAAAATTAAAGAATGTTTCTACAGATTCTTAAGAATGCGAATCTAAGTATGCAGAATTATGATTTTAGGAACCTTATTATTATAGAGTTAAGAAGAAAATTCATATTATTGAAAAATAGAATAAAATCTTTGAAACATTTCGTATTTATTTAGAATCATTTAAATTTATTAATAAGGAAGGATTTCATTATTTTTAAGAAGATTTAGAAAGTATGAAAAATTTCAAAAAACCTCCTATTCAAGAATCTTTTGGGTAACTGTTTGATGAAAAAATTGAAAAACTTAAAGAATAAATGTATAAAACAAAAGAATTAAAAGATGGTTAAGAATTAAGTAAAATATTTGACCATAAAATTGAATAAATTAAAAGATGGAAATAATTAATCATAAAGTTAGCATATTTTTAATATATTTTCACCATAAAATATTTATTAAACACAAATTCAAAATCTAAGAAAATAATAAAAAGCAAAAAATTATATGATTAAATATTTTAACTTTTAGAAGAAGTTGATAAATTTTAAATTGAGAATTTTTCTATAAGTTAGGTTTATTAAGAGGAAATTTCTTAATTTAAATATGGTTTTAATGAAATAAAATAATAAATTATTTAATGGAATATAAAACTAAGAGAGAATTAATTTTATAATTCAATTTTAATACTAATAAAGTAAAATTTATAGCTTAAACGTGTAAATTAATACTTAGAAAATATAATATTAGTAATTAATTTTATAATCTCTAGATAAGAGAATAAGAAGATTATGATCAAAGAAATGAAGCAAAAGCAACAGATCTTATAGTAAAAACAAAGTTACAATTATAAAATAATGCTCATACACTACAATAGATAAAGTAATGCGAATAAATAAAGGATGACGAATATATTTAAAAACAATTTAATAAATTCATAGTTTTAAAGGATTATTTTTAGAATTTAAAGTAAGAGTTTGAAATCTGAATTAATTATTAAATATAATTTTTATTTAATAAATGATGTCTATTGGGTAATTATGATTTTCCCTTGATTAATAAACACTATTGTCTCTGATAATGATATCTATATATATTTATTTAAAAATCATCATCAATATCTTTGGTAACATTAGATTTAGCATGTCTTCCTTAAATTGAAAATGGATCAAATATATTTTCCATGTTTGATATTTAATATCATTGAAATTGTCAAATGATGCATCTCCAAATCACAAGATCTAAGACTCTTCAACAGTGTGCTTATATAATCGTTTAAGTTTATTCCCAATCAGAGCAAAGTTGTTTGGACATTTTAGAACAACTTTTACACCTTTAATTAAATTATATTTCATTTTATGCATTAACAAAATTCTTTAAATTATATTTCTTTTTTCAAATCATCAATAAATCTATTATCTTTTTATAGTTTGGAAGGATTCAAGTATTCATTTATAAAAATCAATTTGCTTTAATATAGAAATTTTATTTTCACTTATCATTTTTAAGTTAGTTTTAAAAGAAATTCAAAACTTAGGTTCTATCTCAAAATGTCCTCATTATTGTATTTATAATACTATTCTGATTAAATTTAATCATTATGTCTCCAATAACCAAAAATGGATTTCCTAATTTAATTCTAATTAATTAACATTAAATCTCTGGCTTTCTGTATCTTAATATTAAAGATTATTTTCACATAAATAAATATCTTAAAATAGGTGTAGACTTTTCTTCCCATCTAAAATAATAAAATTCTTCAAAATTACAAATGTGTAAATTTTTCCTTTGAATTTAGAGTGATTTCATTAGATCTTACTCAAATTATAAAACTGATTATTGTTATTTTGTCATTTCTGAGAATATTATGTAATCTTTAGATAAAAATTTGCTAAGCATTCATCATCTATTTAATTATTATTATCTGGATTTAAATCACTTGGAAATGACAGTCTAATAATTCTTGAACAAATATATTTAATATCTAATAAATTAGAAGAGATGATAGAACCAGATTTTTAATTTTTTTAAGTTATTTTATTTTAATTTATATTCATAATATTATATAAAACTTTAAATCATCTCATTCTACACAAATGTAAAGATTTCAATTTAACATTTGTTAATATTTAAATAAATATAATTTAATAAATATATATGAGTGCTTACGTTAATAAAAATATAGATTTGAAATATAATTGATGTTAAATGTTAGACTTTATAGAAAAATCGTTAATTAAAATATGAATTAAAGTTAAGAATTATTAAATTATATATTATGTTTATTCTAATTTTCTTAAATTTTATAATAGGCACTTAAGGTGTGAATAGAAATGAGAGCAAAGTTGTATTGACTGATTTGTAATGCTTTTGAATGAATGCTAGTTTTGATTAAAATTCGCCAGTTTTCGTAATAGCTCCTTTTTATGAATCATATACAATAGATTTATTTGACCCAGAAGATGTATTAGAAAACACTAGCTTTAGTAATTTAAATTCTACAAACTAAAATTTGACCTTTTAAATGACTCCTTTCATAGAGAATACATATGAAACTTTAGCGTAAGACATTGTTGCATCTTAGGTCATCATTTTGTCCAATTGATGAATGGAGTCCTTTATATTAACCTGTTCGTTTCTATCTTAGTTTAACAGCATTAGATCTTTTATTTTATAATTAAAGTGATAATGATATAGTTTAAGTCTAAAATGGAGTGCATAAAGATTTATAAGATTTAGATGAAACTTTTTTAAATATTTCTTGTTATTCCATATTTTAAATAAGAAAAGATAATCAATTTGGATTGGATTGCGATGTTAATAATAATGCTACCTTTCTTATATTTGATTTAGTATTTGATGAATAATCGTTGATTATAGTAAATTTTACTTTTAACACTTATTATTATTATACTTATAAAGATGAAGAAAATGAGAATTTCATTTAAAGATGTGAATTTAGAAAAACTATTAATGTAAATATCCTTGATGCAATTAATGAAATAAAATTTGAATTGATTTAGTATTGTCCAAGTCTTTTTAATTAATTATCCAAGACTAATGAATTTTTAATAATTTATCATTCAAAGGAAGTTAAAAAAAATTAAACATGGGAATTGAAGGCCTATAAATCAAATATAACAGATTTAAACTCTTGCAAGATGGAAAATGATTCTATGATTGAATAGATATTTGTAAACTCAATGATTAATGGATATGATAATACTACTTGGAATGTTGGTTTTTTATTTTAATCATCTCCTTCAATCTGTAAATGTAACATTTAAGAAATGTTTGAATCTAATTATAACATAAATTGCAACAGTACAATAATTGAGCGTATTTAAATTGATATTTTATAGTCTATCAGCCTAATTAAATTAGGATAGTGTAAAATATGAATGATGAATTAGTTTTAGTGACTGGCACTAATATTGCACTTTTAGTTATTTATTTGGAAAGATCATATGAATCTGAAAACTATTTTACTTTAAGTTATAAATAGATTTTTGAGCCAGGTTATTTATTGGTTGATGTGTCAATCACTTGTCAATATTTAGCTGTTATTATGACTAATTCTCCTTAGGCTCAATAAATGTCTCCTTTCTTTTCAAAACCCAACATTTACTGTTCGATATAGCCATCTGAAGATACTAAAAATATATTGAAAATTTTCTACTTGAACGCTGAATATAATACTGTTTATTATCAATCCAACACTTTCAATTAATTTCAGAGTTTTTTTTAGAGTTTAAATTTTTTAGACTTTGGAAATTTCCTTTTATTATATAATTTCTTAACTTAGTAACTCAACGTTATTACATTATTTCAGAAGTAAAATTATTATCTTTATATATTTAGATAGATGAATGTATCTTATTAGTTGGGTTAGCAAAATATATCCTAATCTTACAATCAACAAATTGCACCTATTATTGTAATCATTTTTATTATCATTTAGATCTCTTTCAATATCTCAGGTGGATATTTTGCATATGATTAATTCAATAATACTTAAAATTACAATAAATTAACTTTCTCAAGATACATAATTTTATGTTTTATCAAATTAGAAGATAGTAGCTTTCAATTGATTGCCCAAAGACATAAACTTAATGAGAAAGAATAATAAAATTTAGCTTAATGTCCAATTAGCAAAGATTTATTTGTATTTCAAGCAATTATAAATTCAATAGATTTATTTGAAGGGGTATTTTCTTTTATATACTTTCTGTAGATTATGGGACCCTTTTTAAACTTTAATTATGTTCCTAATTACAATATTAGCAGGTTTTATCCTTATTACTAAAATCACAAAGCTATTATAAAGTAAAATCAATTCATCAATTTAAATAATTAAAACAAAATACAATAAGTATTTAATGTGTTGAGTGCTGTGAATAAAAACATCCTCATCACTTCAAATATTTTTGGAATTGTTGAGATTCTGCTTACCTATTAGTCTAATAATATATCTTAGAATAGCTCACATTCTAACTAAGCCATAATTTTTAATAAAACTTGTATCATAAATGCAAAAGAATATGTAATAATTATACTCCTATCTATTTTTTTAGCCTAATTTTGAAAAGCAGTTTCCAATAAATATTGAAATTTAGGAATGTACTGAAGTGAACTACAGAGATTTAAGCAAATTTCTTACTCAAGTAGATTATTTCAAATAATTTGAATATTATGACATAGCTGTGTAATATTAAGATTCAATGTAAGTATTTATTTAAAAGATAATCATAGTATAGTTGTCTGTTCAAGAATGAAATCATTTTAAGATTATACAAAATGTCAAAATATTAAGAATACTAATAACAACAATGACTCAATTGTGTAAATTTATATTCTTTAAGGACCAATAAAAAATGATAGAATAGCGTTCTATTTTACAATTCTGTTTGATTCAAGCTTAACTTAATTGTATTTCTATTTTTTAGAGATTTTTGTAAATTATAATTAAAATTTTAGTTAAATGATTTCTTTTCAGAATTTAAATAATTTGAAGCAATACTTTATAATGTTTTAGAGACTGAAAATATGATAGTATCATTTAGATACACATATATTAATTAATAAACCTTATTTATATTGTTTTAGAATTCAAAAATTATTGTTTATACTCCTGGACCCATAAATTCAACAAGGGATGTTAAATTGTATAACTTTACATCTACTTTAACAAATATTGTTGTTGATATAGAAGAATGTTAGAATAACGATTTTTTAGGGTTTGAAATTACAAAATATTTTCAATCAAAATTAGCATAACAATATTTAATTGTTTGGTGTTAGTAAAATTACAATGGAAACTTTACTCCGATTATATTGTAATACATAATAAGAAATATAAATTAAATTAATTTTTGGAGAAGATTACCACATTATGGTACTATTTTAAGTAATAAAACAAAAATTCTAATTTCTGGTTTAATTTTATATGTTCCAGTAATGAAAAAAAATGTTTATAATGATTATTTTTAATACTATTTTGTTTATAATTTGGATGACTATACAGCTAGATCATTAGTGGAATAGATTGAGATTGAAAAGAAGAAAAACGAATTAATAGTATATGGTTTTGTTTTAATATTAGATAACATATCCAATAAGTAATTTAATGGATTCTTTTGTAGTTGGATCATCTATTAGTTTGACTTTGATTATAACAGAGAAGAAGTTCGAAATCTATTATTTAAATTAGAAGGTTGAATTTATATTTCATCTATAAAAGTAATTTATTCCATTTTACAATGATTAACCATTTGTATTGATGATTGGAGTATTTTAACCAGAAAGGTCTAAAACTCTGTATAGGTAATAGTTATATAAATAATGCTAGAAATTACACTTTAGTTTATAATTTTTCAAGCACTTAGATATCGTTTGCATATAATAATTCATCACCTTACAAAGTGAAGATTAATTCTGATAAATTGACAACGACTGGAGGATTTTATTAATATCTTTTTTTAGTTGATGTAAATATAATAATAAATTTAATAGTAATCTTATTTTAATGGGCCTATTGTATATTATAATCATTCTAATGAAGTAAATATATCAGTAATTCCATCTCCATATTTACAGATGAATAAATACTTAGGGAATTATATGATAGAGGTTTAATTATATGGAGAAATAACATAAATAATAGATTTGGGTGATGAAATATATATAGGATTGTACAATCAGCAAATAGAACATAGTAAATAATTTAAGTTATTTATAGTTGCTTAATATGCTGATTTAATAATTGTATTGACAGATTTTCATGTTTTATTTTATCAAAAGAAATCAATTCCAGATATAAACATATCATGTACTTAAACTAATTATACTTAAAACTTTTCGAATGATTTTCTAGGACTCTGTTCAATTAGATTAATTTAAATAGTCTAATTAAAATAAATAGATTAGAATTTGTACTGTTAAATGTAATTGAATGGTGTAAATGCATTGATTATAGTATGCCAATTAAAATACTTTTATAAATTAAGTGGTCGGATATCCTTCATAAATAGAGAAAATACCTAATAATTTATATATTTAGAGTATTCCTATGTTTAAAGAAATAATTCAGTGATAATAAAAAAAATTGTTACTAATGACAAATAGTTTTGTTATTGTTTTTTTAGTGATTTATAACCCTTTGTTTATAATCATTCAGTTTATTAAATGGTTAAGACTGAATATTAATAAATAAATAGTTATTTTGGAATATACTAAATAGTTTTAACAGATAATTAGACTATAACATTTATTTAGAATAGTTCCTATCCAAATCAAAATAATTCATAACCATTTCAATATGCAGAAGATTTTGCTCTATCAATAATTGAATATTAGTCTATTTAATATTTGTACCTAATTATCTTGCAACCTGAAAATATATTTATTTAGGTTATAAATTTAACAGATGGCTTTCCAATAAATGGTTCTGGTCAAAATCTGATTTTTCTAAAATAGGAAGAGTATGTAAGATTTGAAAAGGCAGTATTTATTCAAACACTGAATCATTTTCAACCTCATATAGTGAATAATGATAATATGGTTCAAACTTTGATGGTTGGAAATAATAATTAAATTTATGAGATTATTTTCAATGTTACAACATTCGAAGCCAAATTATAATACACTTTTTATTAATATATGTTATGTCATCATAACTTTTTATCTCGTCCTTAGATAGAACTTTAATATTAAAATGATTCCATATTTTATTTGATTAGCCAATGCCTATCAAATTAATTTGAATATCAATCAATTTAAGTTGAAATGTCTTATCTTCTCAATGAATTAAATACTAATATAATATATACTTCACTTTTCATTAGTATAATTTTAATATAATAAATTTTAGGAAACTACACTCTTAATTATTCAAGGCCAGTAGAAATCTTGGAACCTTACTTAGTCAATCCAGAAGAATTACATTTTTAAAAAATATAATTGTATCAAATCAAAGATAAGGTAAAGAAAACATCAAAGTCACATCTATTGATTACAAATAGTACTTTTTTTTTGATTGATCTAATATTATATTTTGACAATGGATACTTTTTGTATTATCCTATTGCTTAAGTTAATGATGATAAAGTATGAATAATATTAGATTATCCTAGGATCATTCTATATTTTTAAATATTACTGCTTATAATTCTTATTCAAATTGTTAGGTATAATTTGAAATTTATTGGACAGAAGAAGATATTTAAATTAATAATATGGCATGGTTTTATGCAATATTATCATTATTGTTATTCTTAATTTTTATTGTAATTCTTGTAGTTATATATGGTTTTTGTTAAAAATAAAATAAATTGGGAAGACAAGATCACAATTTACATCTAGAAAGAATTGGAGATGATTAAAGTGAATTTGGAGTTGAATTATAGAATGCTCCATATAATTAATTGATGTTAGGAGATGTATTTAAAGATTTATTAAGAAATAACAAATCAAAAAAATAGGCAATCTCATATGCGGATGAATTGTCAGATTGAATTATTCAATATATATTAATATTTATTAATTATTTATATATAAAATATGGGTTGTGGATTAAAGAAATAGAAATAGGATGGTAAAAATGAAATAGCTTCTTTAAAACCATTGATTAAATTCAAAATCATTTTCTCAAATATTAAAATCAAAAATATACCTGTTAAAAAGGCTAAAGTTCATTTTTCAATTGCAAATTAAGAATGCTTCTAAACTTAAATATCATAAAATAATCCTAACCCACATTGGAGATAAACATTTAGATCATTTCATGAAAGTGATTTGGAAACATTAAAATAAGAATTCTTCAAAATTGTATTCTACTCTTATTTATTCAGAGTGTATATTGTGTTGAAAAAAATAAATGTTTTGCTTATGTAGTATAAAATATGTGGGAGGTTGCAAATGGTCCTATACATTATGATTTATTTCTTGAATCTACTAAAGCAAATTCATCCAGAATTACATTTGATTTAAGAATGGTTTAAATGACAACATTAAAAATTCAAAGTAAATAAGTTATATGTGAACTTAAAGATTAATTAATGGAGTAAGTATACAATTTTTAATTAAAAATTAAAGTATCAATTTATATTTATAAGCAAGTCTCATCAAATGGATTACTACAGTGATTTCTCCCCTAATTATTTAAATCATTATTTATATCGTTAATAATCACTTAAATAATATGGATATATTGATTCTAAAGAAAAATTAAGAAGCGAATCAGATGAATTTTAATTAGTGAGAGACATCTTTGATTCATATATTGAAGAAGATATTTAATAGGATCTTAAAAGTTGTTATTTGAAAAAGAATGCTCTTAAAAATGATTAAGATTTAATCTTAAAAAAGTCTAAATCTAACAATCAACTCAACACTATGATACATTTATCAACAAATCAATGCTAAACTAATAAATCTTTAAACTCTAGAAGACCTTATTCAACTATGGGTTTAATTACAAAAAAAGATATTTCATGGGAATTTAAAGTACAAGAAAATAATCCAATCATATCTTTTGATATTTATGTAGATGAATTTTCAAGTTCTTCATTTGAATTTATTTTATGGGGTAGTTCAAAACCAAATGAAAAGTCTGATAATGTTAATGTTAGAAAAATTGGTAATTCTATAATTTCTCTAAATAAATTTTTTAGTTAAAATGTTAATGTTTTAGCTGAATTAGATAGAATCTCACTCTAAGAAGTTAGATTTACTGATAAGTTATGGATTCATGGTTAATGTGTTGGAAGAGTTAAAGCAGAATTTATCATTACTAAAGACACTTTTATTAGATAAATGTTAGGAGGATTTAGAACTGAAGAAGGAATTTAAAGATCTTCATTACTTTACATTAAAAAAGATAAATATTCTGGACCATAATGTCCAAATATCAATTAAATTATATAAATAAATAATGAAATAGATGAATTAGCTGGTAAACTTAATCAAAAGAATCTTTAACATAGAGAAAGAGTTAAAATAAATAAAGCAATTAATCATATTATTGATAAATTAAGTTCCTTAATTAAAAATTAGGAATTATATGAAAATCTTGAAGAAATGATTTCTGCTTAATTAGTTTTTGTTGATCTCACGAAGAATCTATTGGAAAGTGCTGATTTAATAGATGAAGATTTAAGACATCAATATTATGATGTGCTTATTACATTACTTAATAAAGACGAATTCTTCATCAGTTATTTAGGTTTTGATAAAGATCTTAAAGAAGCATATTAATTAAAAGATGATATAAATTATGTTTCTAAAAATAAAAAATTAATATAACAATTAAATTAAAAAATTAGGATAGGATTGCATTATTAGAATTTCTTACATTAAACCTTTGAGAAAGTTGCATTTAAATTAAATTAATAAGGATAGAATGATAAAGAAGAATTGTTTGTGAATACATTTTTGGTTATTGCTTTTTTCAGAATACCATAATTTTAAAATTTAGTAATTGAAATCTTGAAACAAGATAATCGTTCTCTTTAGGAGGAATTTGAAAAAGATTTTGGAATAGATTGTGTTGATAACACTTTTTCTGCTGAATGGGATAAGAATTTTTATGATTATTTGTAAAGTGATCCAAGATATTAGGAACATAAAAAGTAATTAGAAGGTATACTTAATTCTATTGATTGGAAAAATATCATTCTTACAAGTAGAGTATTTTTAAAATGGTTTTAATTAATGTTAAATCATTATAAAAAAGCAAAACATCCTTATGATATGAGTTTAACATGGTCAGGATTTCCAGGATATTTGATTTTGGTTAAATATTTGTTATTGGAAATTAAGCATTCAAATTAATATCCTTATCCAGAAACTATAAAGTAGGCTTCATCTTGTATTTTAGAGAATGAAAATATGTTAAATTATTTAGTTATTGTAATTTTCCATAAAACTAAATTATATGATGGAATTGCAGTTTTTTATACTCTTGATATGATTAATGATTGGTTTGATATTATCAAAAAATAAAATAAGAAAATTCCAACAGATTTTAATTATTAATTTTTAATGAAGGGACTCTTTATGATTTTTGATGGTTAACATGCTTCATCCATAAGTAAAGCATTATAATTAATATTTAATATATTTCCATAAATGCCAATTGAAATTCAAAAAGAAATTAGTGATCATATTTTTGATAATTGTTTTTTCAAGTTTTTTATGTTTTGGAGTAAGTTAGTAAGATTTGTATTTCAACATTTTTTGATTTATAGAATATAACATCGACTTAGAAATTATAGACAGGAAAGTTTAAGAGATATTTAAAAAGAATTTGAATGTATAAAGTTATAAAAGTAAAAATATACTTTTGAAGAAAAAGCAAAATTACTTAATCATCTAATTTATATAAGGTATTCATAAATGATTGAGTTGGTTTTAAAAATTAAGAGAAAGATTGCAAAACATAATCTACAATAAGAAAGTTAATTTTAATTATAATTGGAGGCTAAATCACTTAAATTAAAACTGATGAAAAAAAAATAGCAATAAAAAAAATATTAATTTTAATAATTAAAGAAAATGGAATCTCCAATACATGATCAAATTGATATATCATTTGAAAGATAATAAAGATCAAATATTAGTTTAACATTTAGTTTGAATGATCCATTCTATAGTTCAGACATTAGAGAAGATTAAAAATCTTTTGAGTAATCTAATGACAATTTAAAAGAGAACAATGCTTCTAATTATGATTAAAATGAAGTATATTTTCTTGATAGAAGTATAAGTTCAATAATCAATTTGAATGATTTATTAGCTGATATTGATTAGGATAAAAAAATAAATGAAAAAAGAAAATCTCGGCATTCTAATAGGAATAATTCAGTAGAATTAAATTCAGAGAAAAGTCAGAAAAGCAATAGAGATGATAATCAAAATCCTAAAAAGTTAAAAATATATCATCGAATAAGCAATTAAGAAAATATCAAAAAATCTTTTACTAAAGAACTCATATCTTATTTATTTCCAGCTATTTAAGAATGGCAAGAATAATAGGCTAATTATAAGAGATGGTTTTTAAATGCTTAGGCATTGATTAAAAAATAATATAAATAGGATTTGTAGGAATAATAATTAATGGATATTGATCCACCTGAAATCAATTTGTATGTACCTAAAGATGAAACAGAAAATGAACATGTTTATACAGATCATTGACTAAATTTATAAAGTTAAATCTAATTCTTTAAGACAAAGTATAAATTTAATTATTTTATAAAAAATTCTAAAAATTATTTAAATAGTATTTATATTTAATTAACAAAAATATAATCAAAATATATGTCTGATAATAACAGTGAAGAAAATTCAACTAGTAGTCGTGAGATTGATATGTAATAGATGGTTGTAATGAATTAATATCTAGAATTAGATTAAGCTCTACATTGAAATGATAGATGCTAAAGAAAATTCATCAGGTTATATAGAATATATTCCTTAATTTGATTTGGGTGATATTATTTAGTCAAATGTAGTTAATGTTTTAAAATTGACAAACAAAATTAAAGAATTAGGAATTCAATTGGATGGTCGTACAATATCTTATTATAGTTATGATTGTGAAATGTATATAAATTGTGGAATAGATCCTGTTCATTATTCATATGTAATACCATTAGAAGAGATTCAATTAAATAATTAAATAAGAATCAAAAGCTTTTAACCAATTTCTCTTATAAGTTTTGTTATGTCTGAAGAAATGAATGAAAGGATAAATAGATTGAAAGAATAAAATTGCAATGATCAATAGATAAAACTATAAAAAGATTAAGAGAATTAAAAACAATGTAGAAGAATTAAGGAAAGAAGGATTGGATATATCATCGAAAAAGTTTCAAAATGGAGATAATACTACAATGTAAAAATAAGTATCTAATTAAGGGTATCATAATTGATGGAGAAAATAAACGATTTACACTAGAAGAAGCAGCAAAAAAGGTTAATATTTCAAAAAAAAGTTTGGATGACTATTAAATATAAATAAAAAAAGGTAGAAAATTTGGATTTAATTTTAATGAACATAAAAATGAAAAAGTTGGAGTTTTAAGAGCTTTTGTTAAAAAGAACAGCTGTCTTAAAAAAAAGAAAATTTAATTAGAATGATTATTATGAAGATATCACATTTATTTTTATAATATAATCAATTTTTCTTTAATAATAAACTTTATATCATCCCCCTTTCTTACATATATTTATAGATTAATTATTTTAAAACACTTTAATCTACAATAGTAAATAATAATAATTCATTTTTCTTATCAAATGATTAAGTAGCCAACAAAGTTTAAAACTTTGATGACTTTATTTTAATTTTCAGTACTCTCCATTTCCTTATAAATAAATTTTTTATTTCTTTATAATAATTATTCACTATCACACTTTAAACCTTTCTAACAATATTAAATATGAAAATACATATCAAGATATGGTTATTTTACTATTTCTTCTTCAACATGATAATTAATTATAGTTTTTTACATTTAAAGTTTTATTTCATTTACTTCTAAAATTATAAAATAATCATAATATTTTACTTTCTTGGTCTTCCTTTTTTATTTCCATATAAATTGAATTCCAATACTTATTCCATAACATTATTATTCTATTGACATATGCTTATACTTTTTTTCTATAATTTCTATACACTTCTATAATTTTTCTCATTCTTCTTTTAAATTAATAAGTCTTTTAGAATATTTCACCAATTTATCCATAACTAAGCATAAAAGTATAGACAATTCTTTTGGCTTTTCTTTTTGCTCCTTTTTCTTTTATTTTTGACAACATTTTAAAAATTAAAAGTCCTTAAAATAATGTTCTTTGAAATATGTCTTTTCCAGATTTTTGTAACTTCCTTTATAATATTTATCGAACTCTATATTGCCTTCTTTTTTTTATAGATTATTTAAATTGAAATTTAATATTATCCTAATAATAATTGAATATGTTACATAATATCTTTTTTTTATAATGGAAACCATTTAAATAAAATAAAGAATCTATAACCATAATTTTTATTGAAATTTTAAAAAGTTATCAATATTATTTCTATATAGTATAATTTCTTTAATTATTTTTTTCTTTTCTTAAAACTCAAATCGTTCTCTTAAGGTTTCTTTTTTTTCTTCAAATATTTATTTTTTTTTATGTAAAGTTTCTGATAATTTTCTAGCGGATTGAACTCTTCTTAAACTCTGTTATAGTTTAATTTTATTAGGTTAATATTATTCAATATTTTTGTTAAGTAATATCATATCTTTGGATGGTTTTTTTGTAAAGAAAAATTATGATGATCTAGTAAATTGATAACCAGTTGAAGGTCTTAATTTAGATTCATTTTCAATTTTTTATTGTAATTATGGTTTAATACCAAAAGAAGCCTTCGCATAAATAGTTGTAGCTTATTAAGAAAAAATAGCTAGATATAAACAACGTTATGTGAAGGATAGATGTTCACCTTATTCTGTATATCGAAGTATTTGTTTTCTTTCAAAAGACTCTTCATTATTAAATCTGTTTGGAGTTATAGTATGACATGAAATGTAAAATTTCATTTTTGCTTAGTCAGTGAATTAGAAATCTACTATTAATTAATAATTATACGAATAACAAGAGGTTTTTTATGACCGAATAATGGTACTTCAATATAATGGAATTAACAAAGATCAAGTTATATAATATTTGTTAATCTTATATCTAAAATAGCTCTTTCTTTATGAATGTATTAAATATCTGTTTATTTACGCTAAGAGTTAGTAAATGTAGGAGAGGACAAAGTAAGATTGTCACAAAAAATTTGTTTAATTTTACGTTCTTCGAGTTTTTGAATCATTAGGAAATTTTCATCATAACTCTCATAATTTTAATTCATAATAAAATAATTTGTAAACTATAATAGTTGAAATAGATTAAATTAAATAAATATAGTTGAATCAATTATAATAAATGAAGACTTCGATGTTTTTTGATAATGGATTTGACATGATTGTTGATTTATTAAAATTATTTTGTTTAGTATATCAATTTATATGTATTTTAGAACTTTTATTAATATATTGAATAGAAGAAGCTTTAGTTTCTTAATATTTTATATATTATAATTGTATTAATAATAATTATAATTCTTATAAACAAGAAGAACTACTATTCATTTTAAGTTGATTCTTAAACAATTATTCATAAATTTATGCAATTTTTAATTGATTTTCTTGCATAATAGTATTGAACAAATATTTCTAATCAAGATATTTGTTTTAACATCAAATTTAAGATTTTTAGAATACTCAATATCTAAATGAAATTATTTAGGACAGATCTTATATAAAGTTTCACTTAAAGTCGCTAATTTTTTCAGAATGATTATTTCATATTTTTTCTTTTTGATTATTTGCTATAAGAATTTACCAAAGATAACGAACCTCTTAAAATTTATTCTAAAGATTCAAGATCATCTAGAACTTCTAAATGAGTATTGATTGAAGCATATCAAGCAGTTCTTAATTAAAATTTTATAATTTTCAAAAAGAATGGTAATCTCCTCTGAAAGATAATTTTAAATCAAGTATATCATAAACTATAAACTATATCGCTTTGAGTTTTACCCAATTAATAATTATTTGGTATGATATATCTTTGAAGGATATGTTTATATTCTATTATTGTTTACTCTAATCGATTCAAATTAGTTGAATATATATATAAAAATGCTATTGGTCCTTAGTTTTTATTGTCTATTGAATACAACTACAGCTAGCTATTTATTTATTTAATATGAATTCACTCATATCCTTTATACCATATTCCATCATTTAATTAATTAAATAATGGCTGATTTTTCAATTGAAAATGTGTGTTAGGCCATCCAGGCATTAAACAAAGGTTAAGTTAGTAAGGCTGATCCATTCTTGAGAACATTCTCATAATCTAATGAGGCTTGGGGAGTTTGCATACAAATTTTATTATCCAATCCAGATTCTTCATTGGTATTTTAATTGTTACGCATTCTACAGTCCAAAATCCTCTATGACTTCAGTATTTTTCATATAATTAACATTATAGTTTCCCTCAATCCCTAAGAGATTCAATAGATCTATTAAAACTGCATATAAATCATTATCCATTACAGTGTATAAAATTAAAAATCTACTAGAATATAATGTGTACTCATGTTTATCTATTTATATTTGTACACTTATACTCCATAAACTAAATCCATCTTAGAGTATATAATCTATTTAAAATTAGAGTGATTTCACAAATAATTGATTGTCAAAGCAATAGTTTACATCAAAATTTTTTATTTGAGATTTTAGAAAGCTTTCCAGAAGAACTTATATAAAATAAAAAGATCATTATTGATGATGACAAAAGAAAATATATATCATAAGATATAAAGAATAAATAAATGTTGGAGATCATTTCATTTTTATAGCAAAGATGGAATAACACAACTGATGAAAATATCAAGTTCTATGTATTGCGAACTTATAAAAGATGGTTAGAATTCATGAAAAAGAATATTAATGAAGATGAAGTATATATTTCTGTAAATATTAAAGGCTATACAATTTATGCAATTAACTACTCAAACTCCTTTATTTAAAGGTGCTTTAGATTCTATCATTATTGAAGAATTGCAAAGTAAAGCTGTCGATGTGATATGTAAATTTTTTGGAATCATACCAAAATCTATTGCAATATAACCTACATTAGAACCATAAATAATAAAAATCATCTTTGATGAAATTTATAAAACATTTTCATTATGTAAAAAGGCTTTGGATGAAGATTTAAGTGATGAAATTCATAATTTGATAAGATTATATTCAAAACTAGGAGAAAAGTTTATTTACAAAATATTGTTAAATACTTAATTAGAAGCATTCTTATCAAATATGATATGGATTTTTTGTCATGAAAATTCTAATAATCAAAGTGAATTTATGACTGATTTTTGGATTAAAATGATTAAAACTTTAAGAAATATGAATGATATATAATTATAAAGTAAATTTACTAAGACTTTTGAATAACTTATAAATGGATGTATTAAAAATAGTAAAGTAAATTTGACATTATTATCTGAATATGGTATATAATCTTAAATTGAAGATGATTTTGAATAGTTATTGGATACAAGATCTGATATGAAAGAGATTATAGAAGAATTAGCAACTATAATTTAACCTAATTAAATACTTTTGCACTTAGGTTTGATTTTAAAGTAAGAATTCATTACTAAAATGGATGATGATGGATGGATCACTTTTGAAGCTTGTATGTATTTAATAAATGGAATTGTCAAATAAATAACTTTAACTAATGATTAAATAGGAGTTTAATATTTGATGGAAATTATAAAATTATATTTAGATGTTTATTCATAATAATCTTTAGCAAGTAACAACTTTATTTTGAAAACTGGTAAATATTTAGATTATTAATTATTTAGTGTTTAAATTCATTTCTTAAGGTTGCGCTCAATTGATAACCTCTAATGAGTTATTACCTTTACTATTTAATTTTATTACAATTGGAATTCATCATAAAGTATCATCAGTTTAAAAAAAAGCAACAAAAGCATTTTAATTAATTTGTTAATAAAACTAAAGTTTTGTTCTTATGCATTTAAATTAATTTTTTGATTTAATTGTAAAATTGCAATAAGTGTATAACTAATAAATATTATGTTAGTTAAAATTATGACAATTTAATAAAAGGTGTAGCTAATTCAATATGTTCAAGTAAGGAGACAATGTAAAATTATTACTTGAGATTATGTTCAATTTTCGCATAAAATTTACTTTAATTATAGAAATAAATAGAAGAATAGATTTAATCAAATCTGAACATGGATTCATTAGATGATAATATTTAGTAATTTAGTAAAAACATATCTTGTTTGGCATATGCAAATAGTTAAATACCTGCTAATGAAAATGAAGATTATTAGGAGATAAGAATTTTGATTGTAAATGTATACAAAGAATTATGGCCAATGTTGAAATTTGGTATTGAAAGAATAGCAGTATATGAATAAAGCATAGCTGAAAAGATTGTTAGATATACAAAACATACATTTCGAAAGGCATTTAATTAATTTTCAGTAGATTTGTTGACTTAAGTATTTTAATGTTTTTTGAATGTTTATCGCTAAATACCAATTACAGCATGTATATACATAGCAGAAGTATCAGCTACTGTATTTTATAAATATCCTGAATATAGAAATATCCTATCTGAGGCATTTGAAAGTCTATTTAATATAACATTCTAACATTTGCCTTAACTCTCGAGTTTTGAAGAGAATCCTGATTTAACAGAAGATTTATTTGGAATGTTAGTTAGATATGGCAGATATACTCCAGTGTTACTATTGTAAAGTCCTGCATTATAAACAATTTTATAACTCACATTAATGGCAATAGGATTGGAACATGTGAATGCAGCAAAAACTTATTATTCATGGTTAGAAGTGGCATTTAAAATGCTTAAGCCTTAGGATGAAACCTTCAAGACATAAATTCCATAAGAATATAAAGAAAGTAATAATTTTGAATAGTATTAGAATTTTAATAAATATTTTTGCCTTTCGTGCCTTAGTATACTTTAAAGTTATTTGAGGCTTTAAGGAAAGGAGCTTCAGATGAAGAGGTAGAGGATTACATTTAAGATTGTATAATTGTATTGTCGTAATTATAATTTATTGATTATGGAATACTATTAGAAAGAGTTTTTGAAGAGGGTCCATAAAATATTTTGACTGCATCAGAAAAGAAAAGTTGGTTAGAGTAAAATAAAGATTAAGAGATATAAAAACATTATCTCAAATTATATTCAAGAAGATGCATTCAAAACGCTCTCAGAGGATGACTAATTTTAATGAATGATAATTCAAATTATATATATATATAGATTTTAATTTGATATAATAATATATATATATTATTAATAAAATGAGATTTTTATATTGTGATTCAAATGTAACTCCTGAGATGAAAGAAAAAATAAAAAAATTATTATTTGGGAATGCAGATAAATTAAATCACTAAAATCCAGCACTCTTTTTATAACAACTACTTAATAAAAATTTTGAAAAACTATGGTAAAAGATTGTATAATATTATGATTAGGTTTGTTTATGTGGTATATAGTCCTGTAGAATTGGAATACTAAATTAGATCAAATACTTAAATATGTAACATAAATTTTGATATTTGTAGTAATTGATATTGAAATTGAAAAAACTAGATATATTTTAGCATAATTTGAGGAAGTGAGTGTAGGAACATTTTCAAAGGATAAATTCATCAAAACTTGTTAACAAATTGAAAAAAATATTCAATAGCAATCACATGATCTAAATACAGTTTTACATGAATCTTTAAAATATTTGGAATATAACTTTGGATCAAGTAGTCATATGATTCTAATTAAATGCAATGAATAGGAAACATAATTATAATTTAATGGTCCTAATTAGAATCAATATATCTTCAAAACTCCAATAAGTGCCTTAGAATCAATTTAAGGTGGTATATTTTATATTCCTTTGGGTGCTGAAGAAGATGAAGGAATGCAAGAATTTCATCATGGAAAAACATCAGAAGAAGAAGAAGAAGAATTTGATAATAATTAAATAAGAGATGAGAATTATATTTAAGATGAATATGAAGAACCTATGGATTTATAATTTTAAGTTATGTTAGATCCTAAAGATTTCAGATAATCAACAGATTAAGTAAAAGTTAGTTTTGATGAACTTGAAATTTAACCTTTGAAATTACATTCTTTTTCTATTCTATTTTAAATTATCATATCACCATTTCCTAAAGAAATAAGTATTATTATTTATTATTAAGTAGAGGATGATTTAAATGTATTATCAACTGGAAGTTCTTTAATGTCTAAAAATATGACATTTGGTATTAATAGAGATTAATTATTCTTTTTTAATTTTTAACTAATGACTGGTAAAATGGAGACTCTCTATTCCTAAATGAAAATAAAGAGAAATCAATAGTATTAAATTGCTCTTGTTTATACTGAAACTGAAACCTATAAGTATAGATTATTAATTTTATTAATTAGGGAAGTATCTATGTATATTAATGGAGCAATTGAAAATTAAATTAATTTATCGTAATAATTAGAACCTCCAAGAGGATTCTTTTGGATTGGCTCTGAATAGGCTTTAAAATTATTCAAAGGAACACTTTGGGATATTGTATTTATAGCCTAAGCATTACATTAAAAACATATAAAATCAATATATGCAGAACTTTAAAGTGCATTGTCTCATAAATTCTAAAGAAAATCAATGGAAATAGTTGACGAAATATTGTAATAATTTAAAGAGGAGATTCCTATAGATTAAGATGAATCTAAATTTACACATACTCAAAGTTTATTGAAATAATAATCTAAGACAATGACTAAAGGAAGTAATAAAAAATTATAGATTCCTTCTCATTTATAAAAGAGCTATCATGTATTTGAAGAAATTGATAAAAAGAAATAATAATAATAAGAATAACCTCTTTAAAAAACAATATAAGAATTTGCAAGTATATTATTATATTAATTTATAAGGTAGATTAAAATAATTGTTTGTATAGAATGAAATATTATATCATAAATGCCATGAATTAAGTTTAAATTTCTATTGGATATTTACTACAGTGTAATAATTAGCACCGCCATTAGAAGAAAATGGTAGTCCAAAGCTTCCATTTGAGTATATTCATTAAGAACTATTTAAAGAGAGGTAATTTATAATCTTATGAATCATTTTAGATTTGAAACTTATCCTTATTATGCTATTGAATTTGATAGATTCTGTAAAGTTGTTTAACATAGTGGTATTTAGTTATCACATGATGATATTTATCAATTAGCTGATATAACTGAATCTTTAAGAGAGAACAAAAGATTTGGTTATTATTTAATATATGATCGATTATTATTATCAATTAGATAAGCAGCATTAACAGAATAAGAGATAGAAGAAGTTAAGAGTTAATATAATACTGATGAAAAAGAAGCTGATTAAGATTTAATTATTTATACTAGAGGGATATCAAGATCAAAACAAGCATAAGAACATAACTTTAGTTTCTTTGAATAATTAAAAGTATTAGTTGGATCTGAGAATGAAGCTTTTAAATATAATATTTAATATCTTTTAGCTTATTTTGTAAATAATGATGAATTTGTATAAAAATTAACAGCTGTGTATATTCATAAAGAAACAGGATAAGAAGTTGAAATTGAAGGGGTCGATCTATTTTCTTATGATTAGGATAAGATATTTTAATAGAAATTAGATATTTCTGAAGAGACTTAACCTAAATATTTTAGAGTTCATTATAATGGTGAAAATATGGCAATGATATCATTTAAAACACATGAAGCAGAAGAAACTTTTAGAATAGATAAAACATTTATATATAGAGAAGGATAAGATGCTACAGGTTAATTAGAAACTTATGCATTTGAATAATAGAGATTAGCTGGATTTAGAGGTAAAATTGTTAGAAAAGATGATTATTCTCAAATTATTATGTTAGCAGCAGAATATTTATAAAAAGATCCAAAAGTAGAGGAATAAAAACGTAATCAACCTGAAACATTACCATAATTACCAGAAAATTGGAATTAAGGAAAATTCTAACTAATTATCAATAGATGTTCTGATTGTGATAAACACAAAACAACAACATGGCATTATGAAGCTGATTTCGCAAGTAAATTTAATGAAATTGGATAAATATTAAAAGATATGTTTCCAAATATTGAAATAATAGGAAATTGGGATAAAACATAATAATTAGAACATTTTGATGTATATATTAGAGGAGTTGGTTAGTTAAATTAGATGGATAAAGAAGGAAGAGTATTTTTATTTAAAAAGAATGAAAAATTAGCTAAATTTTTAGATTGTTTTTTAAAGAGAATGTTAAAGGTTTATGATGATATTGTATTAATTGCATAAGCATATGGTGATACAAATTATATGGCTAGTAAATAAGAATAATTTTTGAAAAGTAATAATTATTCATAAAGATCAAAAATATCTCATGATCATCCATGCAATGTACCTGATAAATAAGAGAAATCAGAAAAAGGAGAAGCATAATTGGCTGGTATGGATTTTATTTGTAAAAACTGGGGTTGTGGATAACCATTTAAATATGATTCAACTCCAAATGGAATAAAAACATGTAAACATCATCCTGGTAGATATGAATTTGGATCTAAACATGGATTATGGCCAGAATGTTGGACATGTTGTGGTAAAAAATGGGAAGCAGAAGGATGTAGATTAGCTTATCATAAAGGTGTTCCTGAAAAAGATTTTTATAATATATGTATTAATGTAGGACCTTTAGATTCTAAAACTGGTTATCCTGAAGGAACATGTGGAATGAGATTTTAAGATGGTGATTCTTCTGAATGTAAATATAATTCAGGAACTCATTAAGCTGCANGCAATGATATCATTTAAAACACATGAAGCAGAAGAAACATTTAGAATAGATAAAACATTTATATATAGAGAAGGATAAGATGCTACTGGTTAATTAGAAACTTATGCATTTGAATAATAGAGATTAGCTGGATTTAGAGGTAAAATTGTTAGAAAAGATGATTATTCTCAAATTATTATGTTAGCAGCAGAATATTTATAAAAAGATCCAAAAGTAGAGGAACAAAAACGAAATCAACCTGAAACATTACCATAATTACCCGAAAATTGGAATTAAGGAAAATTTTAACTAATTATTAATAGATGTTCTGATTGTGATAAACACAAAACAACAACATGGCATTATGAAGCTGATTTTGCAAGTAAATTTAATGAAATTGGATAAATATTAAAAGATATGTTTCCAAATATTGAAATAATAGGAAATTGGGATAAAACATAATAATTAGAACATTTTGATGTATATATAAGAGGAGTTGGTTAATTAAATTAAATGGATAAGGAAGGTAGAGTATTTTTATTTAGAAAGAATGAAAAATTAGCTAAATTTTTAGATTGTTTTTTAAAGAGAATGTTAAAGGTTTATGATGATATAGTATTAATTGCATAAGCATATGGAGATACAAATTACATGGCTAGTAAATAAGAATAATTTTTGAAAAGTAATAATTATTCATAAAGATCAAAAATATCTCATGATCATCCATGCAATGTACCTGATAAATAAGAGAAATCAGAAAAAGGAGAAGCATAATTGGCTGGTATGGATTTTATTTGTAAAAATTGGGGTTGTGGATAACCATTTAAATATGATTCAACTCCAAATGGAATAAAAACATGTAAACATCATCCTGGTAGATATGAATTTGGATCTAAACATGGATTATGGCCAGAATGTTGGACATGTTGTGGTAAAAAATGGGAAGCAGAAGGATGTAGATTAGCTTATCATAAAGGTGTTCCTGAAAAAGATTTTTATAATATATGTATTAATGTAGGACCTTTAGATTCTAAAACTGGTTATCCTGAAGGAACATGTGGAATGAGATTTTAAGATGGTGATTCTTCTGAATGTAAATATAATTCAGGAACTCATTAAGCTGCAAAATGGCCAGATCCTGCTGCTAAAGTCTATTTTGTACAAAAAATACATACTGTAATTTTATTATTATAATTTATAGAATCCTGCATAAAAAGAAAAAGAAACATAACCTAATAAAAATATTTAACTTAGACCAGATGTATTTAGAGAAACTAAACCTTATAATGAATTTATTAATAAAGACAGATAAAGATAAATGAAATTAATTGAAACTGAAAAAGAATTAAGAACATGTACTAATTGGGCATGTGGAAAATAATATCGTGAAATTGAAAATAGAAAAAAAAGAATGTGTAAATGTCATCCTGGAGTATTTGATTTTGGACATACTGCTACTAAAATTTAAGAAGCTATTGAAGAATATAAATAAGATAAAGGATCTAAAATTTTATGGAGACCACAGTATATTTTATATTTTATAATATATTAGTTGGACTTGTTGCAGAAAATCTTGGAATGAACCAGGATGTACTTTATAATAACACTCAGGACCTTTAGTTGTAGAATATAAACCAAATAAATATTAATGGCCAGATCCAAAAGCATAAATTTACTTCAAAAAAAAAGTTTCAGAAAATTGGACTAGAATGCTTGAATAACATCATAATCTAACACCAGAAACAGCTAGCTTAAAATATGATCTTTTATGTAAAACTTTAGGTTCAGGAGGAGTATTATATATATTAAATTCTTTTAGTTAATATCTGCTTATAGATTACCTGAATTATGTGATAAATTTGAACTTAATTTATGGGTTTGTAGTGAAGATTTAGCATTTTAATTTAAATTTACAGATATAATGGAGGGAAGAGCTTAAGAATATTTAGCTGATACAAGTGGAAATATAGATAAACATAAATTTTTGGATTGGTGGTTTGCTGATGTCAATAGAATGTTAGAAATTTCATAAAAATGATATCTTAATCATATACAATAAAAAATATTATTAATATATCAACTTATTATTAATCTAATAATATTCTATCTTACAAGAGTCTTAAATTAATTCAATTTTCACCTTTTTTCTAAACATTCCACTATTAAATTTAATTTTGATAAATATGAGTTCTAAACTTTAATGTTTAATTATTGGATTCTCTTTAGGAGTTTTATCAACTACCTATTACTTAGGAAATTAAAGTAAAGAAAAACTAGTGAAAAAAGCAAAAGAGTTTAAATAAAAAGGATTAGAGTAGGTATCCTTTCAATTCAAAATAGATTGATGATATCAAAAGTGATTTGAAAGAAATTAATACTAAAGAATATTTAGTTGAGAAGAAGGAATTAATCTTAGAAAAAGGTAAAGACAGGTATCATTATTAAATAATTAATAAAGTTAAAAATTTGTAGAAAAATAATGGAAAGATTTTGAAGAGAAAGCTAAAAAAACTTAAAAAAAAATAGGAAAAGAATTTGAAAAAATAAAAGAAAAATTCAAATAGGATTGACATAATTTATTATGGATTTATTTTAATAATTTTATAGTTTAATCAATGCTCAATATAACCATTTCATCTTATTTTTTTAATTGTATATTAATTAATAATTATAATCGTTAAAAATGCATAACGCTGTGATTACTATTCCTTAACATGGAAATGGCAGACTTTATAAAACTTCAATTTGCAGACACTTTGAATTAGGTAACTGCTCTATTGGAGATAAATGTCAATTTGCACATGGTTAAAAAGAATTGAGAAACCCAAATGGTATTACTAAATTTATTATTTAGATCCAATATTGGGTAAGATACCAACTATCGATTCAAATATAGTGATCACAAATTATAAAAGTAATACTAAATTATTATATTACAGCTGTGTTATGCAAATATGATTAATAAGGATTTTGTAAGAATGGAGTAAATTGTCCATATGCTCATGGAACAAATGAAAAAAAATAGGCCAGATTAGCTCCTGTTTAATTGAAGCAGTTGTAAGAAAACAAAGAAAATGGTGATGATGAAAATGTTGTTAAATTTCTCAATTAATTGACTGATAAATTAATGAAAAATGATGCTTTTAAAAATGACAAAGTATTACATTCTTATATTATTTAAAGCAAGTCTTAGTTTAATTAAAATAAACTTAAACTATGATTGAAGAAAAGCACCATAGAGATGCAGCTGAATAGTTATCATTAGTTTTATCTTCTCCATCCAGATCTTCAAAATAATAAAAAGCATATGAAACAGTTTACAAAACTTTAACATTGAATTGAAAATATAAATAAAATAATTATTTAGAGATAAAAAATCTTGATTTTTATTTGAAGAATCTTTAGATTTTAATTTAATTTAATAAAAAGATTCAAATATTCAAAGTAAATTAAAATAAAATTGAAATATATTAAATATTAACAATATCTTCAAAGAGATAAAAATTCTTTATTTTATAGTAACTTCTCTACATCATCCATTTATTTAGCGTCGCCATTTATCATTATTAAATTTAAAATATCAGCTATTCGCTATTTCTAAGACATGATTTAATCTTATGCTTCTGTCAATTATTATTCACTTAATTCTGCTATGTTCTTAAGTAAATAATTTAAATACTTTTTAAATTTCCAATTCTTTCGTCAAACTCTCAATTCTAACTTTATCTTTATTCTATTCAACCTCTATAGGAATCATAAAATAATAATACTTAATGTAGCATTTTCTTATTTCAAATATTCACTTTAATTATCAGTATCATCTCCTCTAAAACTAAACCCTTTGAAATTAGTTTCATTTTAATGCATTGAATTTTTATTGGATTATCTAATTAAATAGAAAATTTTACTAAAAAGACATTTACTACTATTCATTTTAAGATAAAACTTATCTTAAATATTAATTGTCATTTAATAACTTCTCGCTATCTAACTAAAGATCATTCAATTATTAATTTAATTTTTGTTCAGCTTCAGATTTCTATTCTAATAATGATTATTATTCTTCTATTTGTTGTTTCATTTATTTTATAATTTAATCTAAATCTAAAATTTCTTATTCTTTTTTTTGAATTACTTATTTTTAACCATTTATAATATCTGCAGAAGTACTCTTATCATTTAAAGCTTAGTTTCTAATTAAATCTTATTTATTTTCTTCAAGTTACTCCTTCACTTTTGTAATTTCTTCTTCCTAAGATTATATCATTTGATTTAAATTTCCTACCTACTTTTTATAATTTGAATTTTCTTTTTCTAATTGTTAAATTTATATTCTAAGTAATTCTAATTGTTCTTTCTAACGAAGAGTATCTAATTCTTAGTTCTCAAGTTAAGTCCTTAATTAATAAATTAATTAATTATCTGGCTCAGAATTTAATTTAACATAACTTTAAGGTGGTTATTCACTATAGCTATTTTGTTTTATTTCTGTTTTCATTTATAATGTTTCGCTTTAAAGTTTTTCTATATCTTAATTGATTAACATTAAATTATTTTTAAGATTATAAATTTCTATTTGATTTTTTTCCTTCTCTTTTTGTAATTAGCTTACATTATATTAACTCTATTCTAAATGAGACTTAAGCATATTGTTATCTCTTTATAGGAACTCAAGTTCTTTTTTTAACATTTCTTAATTAAATGTAGATTGATCTTATTAATCATTATTAACATTAATTAATTACTACTAAGATAAATAAGCAACCTATTATTAATATTCTTAATTTTATTAGACTACTTATGTGTATTCATCTTTTAATTAAGAGTATGTTTAAGATAATTGAGAAAATTCAATACATGAGTTTTGATATTAGTTTTTAAGATCTAAATACTTTTTCATTAACTCTTCATAATTTTCAGGATTATAAGAATAATTACTATTTTGCAAATCCTCTTTTTGTTGTGTTTTACTTCTTTATGATATTACTTATTATTATTATAATTATAATTATTATTATTAATACTATTACTATTATTATTATTATGATTCTTTTTGTTTAGGACAACTTTTGTGGACATCTTAATTAGAAATGTTTTATTTATTTATTTGTATTGAAGTCTAGGGATCATGTAGAGATTTGACTAATTAATCAGATACTTAATATTATTGAGTTGGATTTTAAATTTAGCTATTATACATTAGTTAATAATCCTTCTAATCTTTTTATTCTACAAAAGATTAATAATGAAGAGATTTTTATTTTGTTCCTTTTTCCGATTGACTTACAATTTAATCTTCATTATATCCATTTTTGTAATCATCAAATTGACGTTATTTTAATTTTTAATTAAGTTTGGATGAATATTTTTTTTTTTCTTCTTCTTTATTTTCATTATTCATTAATTATAATTATTTGTCAACTTTACTTAATTTTTCATTTATCATTCTTAATTCATAATCTTATTATCTTTGAGGATTAAAATTATTTAAAGGATTTTAAAATTTCTTATTTGTTTTAGTAGGAGTGCCTAATCGTTTTGGAGGAGATGCAATCCTAATATTAGCATCAGGCTTTCTTAGTGTATCAGTCCAATTATAATTTTAATCATCTACAATAATTACCTTCTAGGGATTTTTTGGTTCTTTAAGTTTTCTTTCTAATTAATTCTTTAAATATTCTTTGTGATCTTTCCACTAAGCATACGTTACATGAGTTGTTCTCTTTTCTAATTCTTCTCCAACTTTTTTTGATTGAGCCAATCTTTTTGGACTTTATCCAACATTTCTTTAGTTACTCTAAGGACTATTGCCTGATAAATAAGGATTAAGTATTTTAGGATTAGTTTCTTGGGGCTTTTCTATAAATTACCATTCAAACATAAAAGTTAAAGAAGCCTCTTCATTCTATTCACTTTAGATTGATAATTTATCTGATAATTATTAAAATTAATTCTCAACATAAAAGTCAAGATGAAAGACAGCCTCTCCAAATTTACTTTAATTTTCAAAAAAAATTAATTTAAGCTGATATAATTAGTAAAGACTTACTTTTTTTTTGTTTTTAGGATCATAAGAAGTTCTAATTTCAGCCTTTTCATTTATGTCTTATTGTTCATAGCATTTACATTTAAGTTAACTATTTAACATGACTGCAGTTACAGCTACATTCAATCAAACATATTACAATCATTAAGTTGCATATGGCAATACGTTATAGGTGAATCTATATAAAAATAAACAGTTTGCACCTCAATATTAATTTATAGCATCCTTGTTATATTCTTTATATATAATAATAATTTATTTCGTTATTTTTAATTTATCAGATTTAATTATTTAAAGATAAATATATTCATATATTTAATAAATAAGAGTAGTCATTACTCATATAAGTGATTCTAATTAATGTTGCATCTCTTCGCGAATTAAATTAATTTCTTTTTATTGAAAATAATTCCAAGTTCTCAAAGAGTAAGGACCTATTCCATACAAACTTTCAGATTAATGATCCAGTAGAATCTTTTATATATTAAAACTTGGAATCACTAACTCATCGCAATATTTCAATTTTGAAGAGGAATTGTTGTATATTTTAATAATTGAATCATTTTGATAATGATGTAAAAATAGAATTTCTTTTGTTTCTTAAGCAACAATCATATCAATAGGATTATCTTATAATTCCTTATGAAACAAAACTTCATTTTTTTAAACATTCCAAAGTAAGCATTTATTAGAATTCTATTTAGCATAAATAACATTGCTTGAATTTCCAGGACTAAACATGGCTTTTAAAGCCTATTGTCCATTTTATTAAAAACTGAATTGAGATACAGTTGGATTTCTCATATCTAAATGAATAAATCCATCTGTCATAGTTACTATTACATTATGATCATGAACATCAATATATTTAATTTCTTAAGTATCTTTTCTGCTTTAATCTTATTATTAGTTGAAAATTTGAAAATTTTGATTTAAATCATTCTCTATAGAATCTTACTCTTCGTCTAATAGGAAATTAGTTTCGTTTAACAAGTTTGGATCTATTTGATTTATTCGAGGACTTTCAATTATTGTAGATCCATATCTTGTTAGAAGTGGCGATAAAATTTAATTTGCTCTAATTTAATTTTATTATTAACTTTATATTGTTAAAGATAAACATAATTTTTAGTTCATTCTTTCATCGAGAATCAATAATTCCTTAAATCAATAATAAACAACTTACATTTTATTTTGTTCCTACATATATATTTTTTAAAGATTATGTTATAAATGTTGGTTATGAATGATTCTACAAATTACAATTGTTTTAATTATTCAATCCATAATAATGATAAGCTTAATTCTTATAGAAGTTCCAACTCATAATATTACCTTTATCAGAACCAGTAATTAGCATATCATCAAAAATATTTTTGTCACATATACAAAATGATATAAACTTTGAATCACTCTCATGAATATCACATATCTTCTCACTTTTAAAAGTATCATGTATTAATTCTATTCTTGTTAAATGATTTCCATTATTTATTATTATTCCATTCTCTTATTTTAAAGAAATGAAATTATTTTATGCTTTTCTACTTTAAGCAAAAGCTCCATCAAAAGCTGAAAAATATTGGATATTCTATCATCTTATTAATTATTTACTTTTCGTATTATTCTCAAATCATTCATTAATAATTTAAGCTTTTTGTTTATCTTATTATCCAATTGCTTACCTATTTCATCATTTTTTTATGCAAATCCTTTGATGTTACTAGGAGCCAATCGTTTTGATGGTGATTCATCTGAAGATAAAATACTAAAAGGTTTTTAATATTTGGATTTTGTCTTCTCTAAAAATTTCTCTAGTTTTTATATTCTCTTTAAACTCTCTTCAGTATATTTTGACTATTTTATCAATGCTTCTGAAAATGTGTTTGGTTCCACATTTCCATTATTGAATTACTTTGTTCCATTTAATTGTTACTTATTAATTGGTGTTTTAGAAAGCACTTCATCTTTCTCCTAATAATCAATTATTTTAATTGCTTTACAATTTCTTTAAAAGGAACTGCTAAACTCCTTGGTGTATTAAAAATTATATTCTGTTGATTATAGACTGAATTTTTGTTGAGTTTTGCTGAAATAGTTTAAGCATGGGTAAAACTTTAAAATTGAAATGCATTTGGTATTGGAGATTCATCACAAGAAAATTCAGAAATGACAGAGGTTGTTGAAGACTTGGGCACATTTTGCTTAAATTTGACAGAATTGTTTTTCATTTTAATTTATCTTTGATCAAAAAGTTAACCTCAGCCTTTAGTTACTTTTGAACTGAAATAATTCATTTTTCACTAAAAAATCAATTTAATAAAATATCAAAATTGTTGACAAAAATAACGAAGAGTAGTAGAACACTATATAATTTAATATCAATCCTACAAAAATATTAATAAGAGAGCTGATTTAGGTTAATTCTTATTAATTAAAATATTTAGATTTAAATTTAATTATTTAGATACAAAAATACTTCAAATTCAATAAATATAGTATTAAATAATCAAATATTGATTAAATAATAATAGAAAATAAAAAATTAAAAAATGTATAGATTAAAAGAATTGAATTTTATAAGTCCTTTATTAGATTTGAATTATATGTATTCATTCATTGAATTTTATTTGTTATATATAAAGCATTTTAAAAATAAATAAATTTTAATATGTTGCTTAGATTTATAACCACAACTCATTAATTAAATTGGGCTTCGCTTTATTACTTCACAAAACACACTAGACCAAAAGCATAACCTCATAAAGAGAAAACAAGAGCAAAAGCAATAAGTGATGATAAATCAGGAAAAATTGCTAAATCAGATTAAGAATAAGAATAAAGACAATAATAAGAAAATCTTAAGAAAAAAATAGAATTAGAAAAATTAAGAGCATTACAACCAAAGATGCATACTTGGAGTTCTTTTTATGAAACTCATATTCCATAAACAAAAAAAATACCATAAACAATATATCTATCTTTGAATGAGTAATAAGAAGGAAGAAATAAACATTATAAAAAGTTTACATAACCTCCAATAGATATTAGTGAAGAATGCAATAAAAATTTTGTGATAAAATAGCATACGTATGAAGATCCCTTTGCCTAACCAAAAAGAGCTGGTTTAATAGCAGTAAAAGTTGGTATGACTGCTTAATGGGATAAATGGGGTTATCGTCATGCATTAACAGTCTTATAATTAGATAATAATTAAGTAGTTTAAATAGTGAAAAATGACACTTATACTGGATTATAAATTGGAGCAGGAGCAGTTAATATAAAAACACTTAAGAAACCTTAGATAGGTCATTTCCTTAAAGCAAATGTATTAATTAAAGTATAATTAAGATCCCCCCAAAAAAATACATAAAGGAATTTCCTATTACACCAGAAAATGTTTTACCTGTTGGTTATATGTTGAGTGCAAGACATTTCACTCCAGGTCAATATATTGATATATAAGGTGTATCAACAGGAAAAGGTAATTAATGAATTATTGATTAATTTTATCAGGATTTGGAGGTACAGTTAAAAGACATAATTTTAAAACATAACCTGCCACACATGGTAATTCTCTATGTCATAGATAATTGGGAAGTACTGGTTAAAGATAAGATCCTGGAAGAGTTTTTAAGGGAAAGAAAATGCCTGGACATTTAGGTAATGATAAAGTTACTTGTGAAGGAATTTAAGTAATATATTTAAATATTATTTATTATAGATTTATAGAATAGATGCAGTTAGATAATTAATATATGTAAAAGGTTCAGTTCCAGGGAAACCAGGATCTGTTGTATTTTTAAAAGACTCTTGGAAAGTCTAAAAGAAAAACAAAGATTTACTCAACTTTCCTACTTTGGCTGTTGAAAATGGAAAAGAATATGCTAAAGAAATTGTTATGGAAGCACCTTTAGAAGATCCTGAAATGGAGGAAACTCATGAAAATGATTTTCCAAAAGCAGGAGAAGATGCAGAAGATTGAAATAAATAAAAAGAGTATAATAATCATAGATCAAAAAAAATAAATAATAAGACTCAATTTCATTTTTTATTTTTTAATTTTATACAAAGCTTTTTCTATTTGAATTCTATTTGTTCAATATTTTAATTATCAACAATCATTTTAGATGATATTTATTACATGTGAGTAGAATCAGAATTAAAATAATTACAATTTTCATCAAATTATTATTTATCTAATATTTTTAATGAGTTAGAATTATTTAGTTTTAATTATTTATTTTAAGGTAGTTGATTCATTTCATAAGTCTTTAAATTTATATATTATTTTTCTGTTGATTTATTATCAAATTTTGATATTTTTTATTAGAATTCATCACTAAGTTTATCGTTTTTATTTTATAAACCAAAGAATTGAAGTTATCTTTTCTTAACTTCTTATTCTTAAATTGGTTTTTAACATATTTATTCTTTGATACATTATTCTTAAATAGTTGTGGTTCTATTGTAAAATTCTTTAGTTTATTTCATTACATCATCATCATTAATCCAAGGTTAGATAGCTGGTTATACCCATTTTGATAATCCTTATTTAATGTCTTTGTATTCAAATCTTTTATCACATAGAAAAACAATACTAAAAATAATATTAATTATATTTCATACCCATAATCATTTATATGTCTAATAACTCTTCCCATAGCTTAATTTGTAGCACGAATGGCTTATTAAGTATACCATTCAGAACTTCTTATTCTTTATTAATTATTAAATTCTGGATCATTAAATAATTTATCTAAATAACCCATTTTTTCTAGTAGTCGATTATCTTATTTAGGTGGATAAGGAACTCCCACTAAAAAAATAGCTCTACATAATTCATCTGAAAAATCAATTCCTTCTGCTACTTTTCCTCTATGAACTGCAAACATTATTGCACCTTTTTTAGCTTTTTATTTATATGTATCAAAAACGTTCTACATTTCAGTACTTTATTAAGGTTCCCATAAACATGCTTTTATTTCACATAATCGAGTTATTAATTTATTATATGTCCATTTGCTTCTAAATTTATTCATTAAACTATAAGATGAAAATATAACAAGTATTCCATTAGGTATTATTTAACAGAAATTTAATAAGGTAACTCCAAATCTACCAATTTATTCTTCATTATTCCTCTAATTATAAGAAAAATCAAACGATTTATGTTAATAAACTCTAAGATTTTTATTAAGATCAATAATATGTTCATTTACCAATTAAACATCAAAAGGTTATCTTAATTCACAAACCCATGATGCCATTGGTGTAAGTGTACCAGATGTTAATAAAATTGAATAAATACTTTTATTACAAAGTCTTTAAAAAGCAAGTGATGGTTCTAAACACCACATATTAATTGATAATTGATTAGATTAATCTATTAAAAAAGATAATTTATATTAATTAAACTCATTTTATAAAGAGTTTAATGAAAGTTTTTATTTTTCTCTTTCATCATCGACTTTTATTAAATCAAAAACATTTTTCATAAATTTAACCCAAGATTCAAAATGATAACCTGGAATTTAAGATAATTCACCCATTACTTCTATTAAAACAGTACAATGAATTAAATATTTAGCAAAATTATTTTTATTAACACCTTTAGCATAATTAGTTTATGAATTATCAGACCATAATCTAAAAGTATTTTCTTTATCTTATGTATTATCAAAAATCATAGATTAAATTTATCTAGCATCTAAAATCATATATCTCTCATCTTTATCAGAATTAACAAATTCTTGATTTTTTTTAAATAATTCTAAATATTAAGCAAATACTCTAATAGTAATCATAATAGATCGATATTCTTTTAATTCAGATGAGATTTTAGCTGAATTCAATTTAGTTCTTAATTAATCATAAAAGACTGAAACTGATTCAAGTTCATCAATCCATTTTTCAAGATCTTTTTCTGCTTCAATAATATTGTTATGTGTAATAAGAAATGAAGATCCATCTTCAGCAGTTGATTATACATTATGTGCTTCATCAAATATTAAAATAGAATCTTCTATTTAAACAACATCTTAAAATTCTTTTTCTAATAAATAATTATAAGGTAAAAGTATTAGATCAGCATAATCAAGACGTTGTCTCTCAAAATAATAAGGACATAATTTATTTTTATATCCAAATTACTTTGCTTCTTCTAAACTACTAATTAATGTACTATAATTTTAAGCCATTAAAAGTAAATGATCTTTTTTATAAAATTAACATTAATTAGCTTTGACTGATTTTCGGCAACTTTAATTTAAAATAGTCCCTTTAATCATACTAAAATCACCTCTAATACAATATTAATCTCTTGATCCAAGAATAGAAACATTAGGTTTATAAACAGTTTTCTTCAATTCCATAGCTACTTATTTTAATTGTGCATGAGTTCTTGAAGAATAAATAATTTTAATATTTTTAGGTTGTTCAGAATTCAATTACTCTTTTCTATTCTTTTTTAACCATGCTAAAGATGCACATAGTAAAGATAAAGTTTTACCTGTACCTGTTGGTGATTCCAATCTAATCTTAATTGATTTTAATAATATACAATGCATTCTATTTTTTATTTAATGATTTTATCACGCTTTCCATATAAATCTTTTATACTTCATAAGGTTTATGAGGAAAATAAACAGGAGTATCACCAAGTATTAATTAAGTTTATTTTTTACACATATTTGAATCAATATCAATCTCCTTAATGATCATCTTATGAAGTTATTCAGACTCTTCATCTAACAATTTGTGATGCTAAGCTTATTTACTAGAGAAATATTGTTGTATTTAAAAAGGTATTTTCATTTTGTAATTTTCAGATTCAAATTTGGTTCGAAAATATTTATTTATTATTGAATTAACAATTACAAATTTAAATTATGAATTAAACAACACCAAAATCCTCAGGAATCAATTATGCAAGTAAGTGTTTCCCTACATTAAGAGTTAAGAAAATAGAAATCAAAGGAAACTACCATTCCCAAATCTATGAGCAATAATTTGAAGTTTGATATTCAATAAAATTATTAATATGGCATACTTAAACATAGAAGTACTTCATAACATAATATTAATGAAAATGTTTAATCATAACAGCAGATCTAATTATTTGAATAATATTTCAATTAATCCAAACATTTATTACCATTCATAGAATTTGTAACTAAATAAATATAATATCATACTTAACCAATTCAAGTATATTATTTAACTTTCATAGATTAATACAAATATTTTTAAAAATGGATAAAGAAGATGGGAAGATGAAAGAAGAAGAATCCTAAATGATTTAAATCAATATAAAGAAGATAATTGTTTATTACAATCTGAAATTCATGAATTGAAAAGATAGAAAAATACACTTTCTAAACAATGTGAAAATATGCAAGTGATAATTGTATAAGAAAGACTAGGAAAATAGTAAAAACATCATCATTTCTATAAATTCCAAGAATTAACCAAGAATATTCATGTTCCTACATAAGAAACCATCTCATCACTAACTGACGAAAGGGTAACTTCAATAAATATTTGAGTTCGAAAGCAATGAAACATCTTTAGACTCTTCTTTATCAAATGATGATTCTCATCATCCTAATAAATTATTTGAATTGTTAAAGAATGGAAAACATAGGTATTAGTTTTCTAAGAAACTTAATTGATTATTATTAATATACATAATCTATATTAAATGACTAATTTGAAATTGTTTTAGCTAACTGCATATCAGAATGCCATAATTGTAAGTTAATATTTCTATCATTAGATTAAATCAGATTTGCCATTTTTAAACACTTAGCTAAAATTTCATAGATCTTCTTCAATTATTGAAGAATCTCCTAAACATTCAGAAAATGAAGGAAAGATTAAAGGAGATAAGAGATGTTCATACATTTTAGGAATCTTTAAAACTTATAATAAATCATTTATAGTGCTTGTTGAAGAATGTACAAAAGTTGCTACAATCCAGGATCAAATCATTTATCATATTGACCAAGTGTCTTATATTGCAATTGAAGTAAAATGTATTTTTAATTAGAGGACAATAATCCTAATAACAATAAAGATATCTTGGAAAGCTTGAGCAATCAAAAAAAACTATTGTAATAAGGATTTTATTTTTCTATCAATGGTGATATAACTCTTGCAAGACATTTCTAAAAATATGAGAATAGCTTTGTCTGGAACAACAAACTCCTTAGTCCTTTTAGAGAGAATAAAATTTCTTCTAGTTGGCAACTTCCAATCATTCAAGGTTATGTTGAATAAATAGATTCCTATATTGATAAATAACTTATTACTGTAGTCTTGATTTCTAGAAGAAGTAGATTTATGGGAGGAACACGTTATTATTCAAGAGGAGTCAATGATGATGGACATGTGGCTAATTTTGTAGAAACAGAATAAATACTCATTTCAGGTTCAATTTTAATTAGTTTTGCTGTTATAAGAGGTTCAGTGCCTCTATTTTGGAATCAGGATAGTGTTTCTAATATTAAATTAACTCGATCAAAAGAATTAACATCAGCTGCATTTATCAAACATTTTAATCTTTTAAGACGATATGGAAAAATATTTTGCATTAATTTGATGTAAAATAGCAGATAAATAGAATAATTATTAACTGATAACTTCTATTATCAATTTTAGAAAGCTCAATTAGATCATGTTAATTATTAATATCTTGATTTTCATTCCTTTGTAAAAAATGGTAAATCTACTGGACTCAATTCTTATATTTATTAGCATGAATAAACGTTAGATAAATTTTAATGCTACATAGAAAAAGATAAATAAATAATTGCTAAATAAAATGGAGTTTTTAGAATTAATTGTTTAGATTGTTTAGATAGAACTAATTTATTTATGAGTAAACTCTGTCTTTATAATTTGGATAGATCTTTAAAAATTTTAAATCTGTAATTATCAAGTAATCCTGATATTCTTAATTATTTTGATGAAAATAATAAGAAATTATTGCATGATTTGATTATCAAATATAAAAATATGTGGGCTAATAATGGAGATATGTTAAGTTTCATATATTCAGGATCTGGAAGTACAGTATCTGAAATGGCAAGAGAAGGTAAGAGAGGATTTATGGGAATGCTCAAAGATGGATATAATAATATTGAAAGATTTTATAATAGATAATTTGAAGATGATACTAAATAAAACACTATTAATTAATTGTTGTTAGGTTCAACATCCTAAACGCACTTTGATGCATGGATCACTAAATAAGAAAAACATTTTTGTACTAATAGTGAAATTTCAATATTATTAACAACATGGAATGTTGGTGGTAATAATCCTATTACAAATGATTTTTCAAATAATATATTAAATTTTTAAGAGCAATCTAATCCAGATATTATAGTCTTTGGTTTGCAAGAGATTGTCGACTTAAATCCTCAAAACATTGTTATAATGAGTAATGAAAAAACACTTTAATTGTGGGATTAATTGTTTTAAGCCAATTTATAAAAAATTGAATCCTATACAAAAATTGGAGAATCTGATTTGGTCGGTTTATATATGGCAATTTATGTTAAGAAATCCTAAATTTCTAGAATAACTCAAATTGATACAGATGTAGTAAAAACAGGTTTAGGGGGAACTTTGGGAAATAAAGGAGGAGTTTCTATTAAATTTAAATTTGATGATTCTCATGTAATATTATATTTATAATTTATTTAGTTAGGTTTTACTTGTTGCCATTTAACATCTGGTAACAAATAATGTTAGCAAAGATTATCAGATATTGATGAAATTCATTAAAGAGCATTCTAAAATTCTAAATCTAAAATTAATTTAAGCAATCTCGATTATTCATTTTTTTTTGGTGATATGAATTTTAGAATCGATTTATCATATCAAGAAGTTATTGAACAAATTAAACATTATCAATAATTGATTTCTTAAAATCAAAATTGTCCTAATGCAAAAGCTAAATTAGCTTATTTACTTAATTAAGATTAATTAGGAAAAAGTAAAAATAAAAATTAATACCTTCAAAACTATTAGGAAGGTAGTATCAACTTTTTGCCAACCTATAAATATGACAAAAATTGTCAAATTTATGATACTTCTAAAAAATTGAGAACCCCTTCATGGTGTGATCGAATTTTAGTTGGTTGTAAAGAAGAATTGATTTGTTCATAGCGATTTTATAAAAGAAATGAATGTTTAGATAGCGATCATAGGCCTGTGTCAAGTTATTATGTAATTGAAGTCAAAAAAGTTGATAAAGAAAAATTTGATTCTGTTTAAGCATAATATTGTTTATCAAAAATGTAGAATTTTAAACATCATTAATCAAATTTTGAAGTTCAGAAATAAAATACATCAAACTTATAATTTTTACAATAGTAATAACCTTAATAGGCTGATGATTATTAAGATTTCTTTAAAGATGTTAATTTATATTAATAATAATAATAATAGTAATAATAATAATAATAATATTAATATTAATAATAATAATAATAATAATAATAATAATAATAATAATAATAATATTAATAATAATAATAATAATAGTAATAATAATAATATTAATAATAATAGTAAAAATAACCTATTCTATAAATATAATAGCAGCCAATATAATAAATTCAATTACCATAAGTTTCATCTTTAGATTTAATAAATATGGATGATAAATAATAATAATAATAAAAATAATAATAATAGTATTATTAATAACCTTAAATTTTATAATAATATGCTTTGTAATAAATGTAATCGCAATAAAGGTTATAAAATTCTGCATTATAATAATAATAAAAAACGAATCAATACCCACAACAACCTGATTTATTATGATAAAATATTAGTATGAACATTTAAATAATTTTCAATCTTCATAATTTGGGATTTGTATTGGGGATAAGGATTAAATTTATTCGATATTAATCTTTTCAATTTCTTTTAAAATTTCATCTACATTTTTAACTTTATTATTTTTTGGATAAGTTTATGAATTATAAAATTCAATGATTTATTTCTTTTTTTCTAGTTTAAGCTAATTCAAATCTAACATTAATTTGCTGAATAAAGAAGTTAAATGGGAGATTAATCCATTACCTTTAATATTTGATAATGATTTTTCATCAAAAGCTTATGATTTTTTTAAGGACATTTAAGCTGATAATGTAATTTCTTCTAAAGGTTTTATTTCTCTAACCAAAAAGAAAACTACTAAAATGATATAGATGAGAGGAGCGGCAATACAAGCAGCTAGATATCTTTCATTAAATTCCTTATCATATGTATAGAATTCTTCTTCTTAGTTCTGCAATTATTATTCGAGTAATGTATAAGGATATACACTAATATATATTATAATAAATTTTACATTATAATGATGAAGTTTAATCTTATGATAGAAATAGAATGGATAGTTTTATTTATAACTCCTTTATAGATTCGATATGGATTATCAGAATTTCCACTTTTCTCCAACTTGAAATCTGAAATATTTTATTCATCAGGATATTCTATTAGTTATTAAATAATATTGATTGTAAAATTCGAGGTTTGAACACTTTAGTAGACAATGTTACCATCTTAATTTGAGATTACAACTGTATAATTTAGTAAATCACTAGTTGCAAATAACATGAATAAATCTTTAAAGTTTTATGGTAATCTTTCTATGAAAACATTTCCAATTATTTCATTCATTTAATTCTTAATTGGATAAATCGATCTTTGAACATAATTTTAGAGAACATTGTCAAAAACAAATTCTAAAGTTTCTTAACTTAATTAATCTATATTTTTTCTATAATTTTTAAATTTCTAAACATCTGTAACATTTATTCCAGGATATTATACCATTAAACCATTTTTGAAAATCCAAAAAAATGAGCAAGTTAATGTTACATAATTATATTTCATTAAATAGTTTGTACTTAAATAATATTAAAGATCACTTTATGATAAATTTGTATCATTTAAAAGCATATAAGTTGAAAAACTCTAAGTTGCATAATCAATAATTGAAGTATACTAATAAAATTTAGCATATTCATCTAAATTCTGATCCATTGAAATAAGTTGATTTTCATTCCATTAGATAACTCTTTATTAAAAAACTTCGTTCATAACTTATGCAAATTAAATTTCATTCATATAAGTAACTTAGCATAACGTAATGAATTATTCAGAAACTTATTGGATTTGTTCTTATTATAATTTAGCAAAATTTTTCTTAGACCAATCTTAAATAATATTTTTAAATATATCCTAGCCCAGAAATCTAATACCAAAAAATACACCAAGTGACACTGTTGCAATAATTAATTGTGTAATTATGACTTACATTTTAAAAGTCCATTTACTTGATATTGGAATGAAAAATACATAACCTATTTTTTAGCTGGTTAAAAAATTGCCAAATCCAATATAGCCTTTTAATTTCTCTAAACATGTTTCTTTAATTTCTTTCTTTTTATGTTCATCTTTCAATTAAGGTTACTGTTCTTAAAATGAATGATTTTCAGGTTCAATTTTATCATTTTCATTCTCCTCATCCAATTAATTTTCAGATTCATTCTCTTCTTAAGAAGAATCACTTTGAAATAATTCTTATTCATTTCTTTCAGATAATATTGCTTCATCTTAATTATTTGAAGATAACATTATATTAAATATATACACATAATATCACAAAATAAAAATGTAAATTAAATAAATCATTTATTTTTAATCTATAAAATTTATTTCATAAAGTTTTTATTCTTTACTCAATCAATAAATATAGCAATTTCTACTTAAAGTACAATTTCTAATTTATATTAATAGTACTAAGTACTAAATTGATTATTTTTTTTGTTTACGAGTTTGTTAATTATTACATAAGATGCAAATAAATTTATTATTAGTTCTGATTTCAAACTTTGAGAACCTTAACTTTTTATAATCAAAATCACTATATAAAAAATAACTTACAACTTTAATTATTAAATTCTGAATTGCATGATTTATATCCAAAATTGAAATAGTTAAATAGATTTGATTATTTGTAGCATTCATCAAGAAATTCCATGATCATTTTACGAATGAATTATTCAACATGAATTCAGTATTTCGAATAATTTGTGATGAAATTAATAATCTATTTCTAAGTAATTAATTTTTTATATTTACAATATATAGTCTGGATGACTTAGGTTACCTAAGAAATATGCTTGGAATATTTAGGTATGGCCTTAATTAATTATTTTAAGACAAAGCTCAAGATATAACTTAAGTGCAAATCTAATAATAGAGACAACTAATCACAATCATAAGTGTAAATGATAAAGATGCCAGAGATATAATTTATTATTTGTAAGATAGATAGAGCATTGATTTATCTAAAATTTCTAATTGGAAAAAATTAAAATCCTTTTTATATGGTTTACATGAAGTATCAAACCCTAATTCAACTTTTCGAATATTTTGGGAATTGATAAGTATGATATTTATATTCGTACAAATGATTCAAATACCATTAGTTTTAACATATTCAGTAGAACTAAGTGAAGGATTTTAAGCTTTTAATTAATGTATGGATGTATTCTTTTATATTGATTTAATATTGAATTTTAAATTAGCATATTATTATAGGTATCTTAATTTGTCTCTATTTTTATATTAGAGGTGAAATTATATTCGATAGAAAACTCATTGCAATTAATTATCTAAAATTATGGTTTTGGTTGGATTTCTTAGCAGTTTTACCTTACGATTAAATGTTTAGCGAAGATGAATCTTAAACTTAATTATTTAAAATAGTAAGATTGTTTAAATTCATAAAAATAATTAGACTACTAAGAGTATTAAAAATAAGCAAAATATTGTAAAAACTTGAAGGTATTTGAAATAGTTAATATTTTAGAATCATTCACACTAGCATAAACATTTTAAGCAATCATTTAATTTTTAAAAATTGCCTGTATGATTCTTAGTATAGCTCATTGGATAGCTTGTATCTGGAATATTATAGAATACACTGATGAGTAAGTTAACATTACATGGATGAAAAAATATGGGATAGCTGATGCAGATTGGGAAATTAAATATATTTCAGCTTTTTATTTTAGTGTAACAACTATGATTACAGTTGGTTATGGAGATATAAATGCAAACACATAAGCTGAAATGATTTTTGCAGTATTTGCCATGGTTTTGGCTTCAGGCATTTTTGGTTACAGCATGTCTAGTTTTATGTAAATAATTGAAGGAGAAGACGAGAAGATTTAAGAATAGAGAATTAAAAATTCTAAAATTGTGAGGTTTCATTTTATATAATCAAACTAGATATATCAGATAAAAAAATATACCTAAAGAATTGTAGAGTAGAGTTAAAAACTATTTAGAATGGTTAGCTGGTTCTGCTTAAATTGCAAGAAATTATGAGTAATATGTATTAAGGAGTTTATCTGCTAATCTTAAAACTGAAATCGTTTGTCTTTTAAATGGAAGAATTTTACATAAAGTTTAATTATTCAGTAAAGAATTTACTCCTTAATTAATTAATAAACTTGTTTACGTTTTGAATGAATAAATCTTGGGACCTGAAGAATATGTGTTTAAAGAGAATTCTTTCGACAATGATAAAGTTTATTTTATCTAAAATGGATAGATTAATATATGTCTTACATAAAGAGAAACTCTTGTTAAAACTTTATAAAAAGGTGAATATTTTGGAGAAATTGGATTTTTTGGTAGAAAGCCAAGAAGTGCTTCTGCAAAAACTGTAGATTTTGTTAATGTTATGAGTTTAAAAAGAAATGATTTATGGGAAGCAGCAAAACCTCTCGAAAGTGATTTACTAAAATTATATTATATGAAGGATTGCTTAGAGGTTGAAAATAATCTTAAACCTTTAAAATTGAGATGTTACATATGTGATAGACCTCATCATATAGCAAGAAATTGCACAGTATTTCATTATAGAGCTAGTCGTAAAAACATCATTTTTGAATATTTTAGCCATCAAAATAGTAGAATTAGATTATTTGAAAGAAGGAAAAAAGATAAAAAAAGAGTTAATATTGATTTACTTTAAAATTCAATTTAATAGTATTAAATCAATTAGAATCGAAATGAAAAGTAATCAAAAAATACTGCTAATAATTATATTTTAGAAGATGTTAAAATTGCTTGTGATATAGATCACTTGAAAGAATATCCAGATTTCTATAGTGAATTCAATATTAGTAATGTTGCTTAAAACATCAATTTTTATTCTAGCTTTACACTTTTATAAATCTAAGAAGAGAAAAAAAAACTGAAAGCTAATCTTAGATTAAATTAAAGAAGATTAAAAAATTAAACTTTGGCTCCAAGATAATCTAAAATGACTTTGGGAAATATTGAAAATCTTGTTAATGTATATGACAACTATCAATCTTTTTCCTCAAAAAATTCAATCAATTTTATTGAAAGATCTAAGAGTAAATCAAAAAGACTTCTTGATTTATAATCTCAAAAACAGTATTAAAATTCAATTATTTTAGCATGACGAGAAGATCCTTTACAAATAGTATTTAGAAATATTTTGAATAATTCAATAAATAACCTTCTTTTATTGAAAAATGCAATTTAACCAAAAAAAAAAGAATCTCATCACAAACCAGATTTGTATAAAACTGTTAAGCCGAACTCAACTTTTTTTAGAAAAGAAACTTATATGAAAAAGTTGATACCAGAACTTATGCATAATTATAATTTAAATCAGCCATAATTTTGATATTAAATGATTTACTTTAGTTAATTTCTCTTAAAGTATTCTTATAATTATAAATTATTATTTCAAAATATAAAATTATCTCATAAATTTTTTTCTGAATATTATGAAACTTAACTTCCAATCAAATTAGCCATTCCCGAATTCATTAATTTCATTGTCATTTGAGCTTTTTCTTTTTTTAATTTAGAAACTTAATCTGCTAAAATCTTATTTTGCTCATTTAAACTTAAATATTCCTAATTTAAATCTAATTTATCTTATTTTAAACTGCTGATCTATTTTTATAAATTATCAAGCTATTGTTAGAGATTTATTATTTTATTATTTAAATTATCACTTATTTATTGTTTCTCTTTTTTGAGTTAATTAATTATCTCTAAATTATTAGAGTTTTAATCTTGAAGAGAAATGATTTCACTTTCGTATTTTTAACTCTATTATAATTTCTCTTTCTTTATTAGATCAATTTATTCAGTTAAATGTAAATTTATTTCTTATAATTTTTAGAGATCTCCTCCATTACTTTTTGAAGAAGGAATATTACTATTTATTTATGCAGTCAATTACTTCTCTAAATTTTACTTAATTTCATTTAATCTTGAGATATCATCTTCAGCTGCAATTAATTATTATTCTAAATTTTTGAATTTTGCTTATTGAATTGAAAGTTATTTATTATTAATTTTTACTTAATCTTCATAAGTTCCAATTCTCAATTCTAATTCTTTTATTTTATTTTCATAATATTTTTGCATCGAATTATTCTGATTTTCTATATCTTCTACTTCCTTTTATTTCATTTCAAAATCTTTGATTTTACGTTCATTTTCCTTTAATTTTTATTCTAACAATTTGATCTATTAGTCTTTATCATTCATTTATTTTTCTAAATCATTATTTTTCAAATCTCTTTTTTAATAAAACGGTTGAGAAGTTTAAACATCTAAATTTTTCTTTTATAACATTTAAATTTACTGCTCTATGATTTATTTTTAATCTTCAAAACGCTATTGAATATATACATAAATATATACTTGTTTTTATTCACTTTATTCTATTATAGCTTAATCATATTTCTCTTATAATTCTTTTTAATTTTATTCTAAGATTTCAATATAATTAATAAGTTCCACATTTTTAATTTTTAGCTATTTAATTTACTATCATAATTACAATATTTATTACTTCTTAAAATTATTATTTTTCACTCATCATTATTTGATCACCTTATTTCTTTCGTAGTTATTCTTCTTCATTTAATTTTTAATAAAGTTCTTTTATTTAAGATTCTTTCTTTTTATCTAGCTTTTAACTAGTTTCTAATTAAGATTTTAATTCCTCAATATATTATTTTTATTGCTTTATTAAAATATTACCTTAATCTTATTCTCGATTATTTTTTTCTTCCATTAATTCAAGTTAAGCCTACAATGTTTTAATTTTATTTTCAAAATCTCTATTAATTTCAAAAACTTAATCTAAATGATGTAAAAGTAAATCCATTTCTTCTTTTTTATAAGATAACTATTATTCTAATTATTAAATTCTTTCACTTGAATCAAAAGTATCTGATTTTCGAGTAAAGTTTTAAAAATTATTTTGATTTGAATTTCCTATCATTGAATTTAATTCTTAAATTTGCTTTGTTAGTGATAAAGTTTTGTATTGAGAATCTTTAGTTAGATTTTAATATGCAGCTTCTTAATTTAACATAGCTTATTCTAGATTATCTGCTTTTTTCTTAATTTTATTCATTTATTCAACCAAAGTCTTATTTTCTTAAACTAAAATGGCAATCTTTTATTCTAAAAATAGAATTGATTATTTTTGTTAACTAAGATGGGATTCTTTCTAAAATAAAGATATTTTTATATAATACATCTTGACTCAATTTATTCATTTAATCTTCATAAAATTATTATAGTTATTGCTTTTCAACTATACTTATTTTTTGAACTTCTTCTAGTTTTCCATTTATATGGTGTTAAACTTAAATTTATTAGCTTTATAAAGTCTATTTATGAGTTTAATCTAATTCTACCATTTACTAACTCAAAATAGTATTATGTTATTTTAATTCATTAATAATTTACTCTTACTACTTTTACTTCTAAGAATATTAATTAATTAATTATTTAGTATTGATTTCATATTTTTCTAAAGAAGTATTGTAACTATTTTGAAGTTTTTCATACTCTAGCTTTTTTTCTTCAAGTGCTTAATGATAGATATTTAAATCATTAATTCTATCCTCTAATATTAATAAATAATAAATTACATAAACTATGCTAAATTTCTTTATTTTGATTTACTACATTATTGATAATATCTTGTTATTTTTAATTATCTTTTTGCTAGATTGCTAATTTAGCATTAAGATTGTTTATTACAGCCTCAGATTCAGTTTTCAACAAAACATATTACTGTTTCCATGTTTACTCTAAACCATTTAAATTTTCTTGAGCTTAAAATTTGATTGCTTACATATCTCTTTAATGAGCTAATTGATTATTTGCTAAGATATCATCAAATTATCTTTTATTATTGATTTTTTCTTATTCGTTTAAAATGGCTTACTATTTTAATTACATATTTTCTTTTATGAATTACTCAATTTATTTTTACTACTCTCTTATTCTATCATTTGTTTATTATAAAGCTCCTTTAAGCTAACTTATTGATTAATAATTACTTCATTTACAACTTGAACTAAAGGTTATAATTATGCTACTTATCTTAATAAATCAACATTTTATTCCTTCAAATTTCTGTAGGTTTAATCATTTATTGGACTGTTAGTTTGAAATAGTTATACAGGTTAAGGAAGTTATTATGGTGTTATTTATTTTGGTAAAGTGGAAGCACTTTATCCTATTCGATTATTCGGTGTTTAATTAGGTGTCTGATCATATTAACTAGGAGGTTATTATTATAAAACACTTGGAGTCCTTGATTATTATTATGAAGTGGATTCTTATAATTTACCTAGTCTGTCTAAAAGTTTTGATATATCACTATTTAATGTCTAATTTTTTACTCTTAAAATTGCTTTTAATCTTAGATTATATTTTAAACTTATTTTAATTTATCTTGATCTATAGAAGATCCATTATCTTGATTTTAAGGTTGATTCATATTCGGGAATATTTTCGTGTATTTTTCATCCTATTCATCTTATTATCTAATTGTAATTCTATAAATAATACTCCTTATTTGGTTATTATTTTTAAATAAGTGCACTTAGATTGCTTAATTTCTATCCTATTGGCTTTCTTTCCATAAAAAAAAGAACAATATTTTGAAATAATATAAATAAATTTTATATGAGAAGATAATTATAAAATCTAATTTTTACCATAGAGTTTATTAAAGTATTGAAAATTAAAAATTTTTGTTCCTTTAAAATATCATCAATTAATATTTAAAATTCTTATGATATTTTGATTACTTTAATTTGATTCATATTAATATTAGCACACATTATGAAATTCTAAATTATAATTATAAAGATTATTTCAAAATTATTCTTGATGAATAAGAAGTTCTTTGTTTTCATGGACATTGATATAAATTAAAATATCTTATATTATTAAATTAAGATAGTATAAAAATGAGGTTAAAGATCTTAAATTCATTATCCAAATGTACGTAACCTTTATATATTCTATATAAACGTAAAATTTGGAAAAATAATTAGATTATTATGTAAATTTCTCAATCATTTAATTAGAAAGTATATATAATTAGAATAAAAGTTCTTCTTGGTGTAGTGATAAATATTTAATTGGTAATCTATCATTATAAATTCCTACTTTTATATAAGTTAAAGATCTTTAATAATGTTGTTAATATCCTTTTCAAGATTGGTCATAACAATTTATATATCAAAATTAGCTAAACTGTGATTATTTAATACTTAATAAAATATCTATATTTATTTAATAAAATATTATAAATTGTAAATGTAAAATAAGAAGAAAATACTTTGCTTACATGGAAATGGTGCAAACAAAGAATTTCATACTTATTAATTAAGATAATTTTCAAAAGAATTTAATGATTTAGAATTTGTGACTTTAGATGGACCAATTCCAATATCAAGAAATGTACATGTTTCATAAGTTGTAATTCCACCAAATTTTGCAAAAATGATTGAAAATAAACCATTATATACTTGGGGTAACTTTCTTAAGTTAGATAACAATAATATTGATGCAAGTATTTTATGATTTTATAATAACATTAGTATTTTAGGAATCAATAGATTACGTAATAAAAGTATTAAAAGAATAAGGTCCTTTTTATGGAGTACTAGGATTTTCTTAAGGCTCAGCTGTGGCTGTTAGATTGGCTACATTATTAGTAGAAAAAAAAGTTGATTTGGGTTATGAATTACAATGCTTTATTTTTTCATCTGGATCTATGATGACTTTATCAGAGAGACGACTATTTTTTTGCAAAATGCCTTCAATTCATTTAATTGGAATTAATGACTTTTTATATGATAGGTATAAATAGATAAATATTTATAGATCTTTAGGATTATCTTCACAATTTTTAAATCCATTAGTTATTATTCATGATTAAGGGCACAAGATTCCATTTCTAAATAGATAATAAATTTAATTACTAAAATAATTTTTTAATAAAGAGAAAGATATTTGGTAACAATAAATTCATGTTCCAAAATTATGATTAATATCATTTTTAATGATGCTTAAATTTATTGTATATAAATTTTCATTTGTAATGGTTTGTCCATGCAAATCTTTAAGTAGATTCATCAACAGTTCCTTATTTGATTCTCATAGCAAAAACGTGTTTAGGTTTACCATTAAGGTAGATTTTAGCTTATTGTTTTGAATTAATATAAGCATTTGGTAACCAATCAATGTTCTTAAATCGTAATTATAATAATTTACATCAAAAATAGCAGGTTTTAAAGGAATTTCAAGATATTAATTATGATAATATAAGACAGGTGTTTAGTATTAGAAGAATAAATCAAATAGCTAATATAATGATAAAATGTATACCGAAATGTATTTTTAGGCTTTGACCAAATTTTCAACATTAATTGGTTTTCTTCTAATTTGGAAATACACATAACCATAAAATCTAAAGAAGATGCCTGGTGGAGTGTATGTTCCAGTCTTTTCAATTTCTGATATTACATCATTAACATTTACAAAAACACTTTACAATATTCTTGAATAATAAAAATTAGGATACTTTTCAGCTTCAAAAGCATGAGTTATTCTTTCATTTATCAATGCTTTTTTAATTGGATGTTTAACAATATCATTTTCATCCTTCATAATCATTTCTTCTTCTGGTTTTTCCCATTCTTCAGGGTCAACTTCAAACCATTTTAAGTCTCCATAAATAGTATAATCTGCCTATAAATAGAATAGTTGTAATTAAATACAAGCATCTTTTCACTTGTTGGATCTCCTCTATATCTTAACATTCTATCATTAACATCTGAAAACATGGTTATGATTTCTTCCTTTTTTTACTCTTCATTTTCAATTGATTTCTATCTTAAATTGTCAATAGTTTAATTTGAAATATGAGTTGGTTTTGCTTTAGCCTCAGACTTTTATTTTTGTTAAGAATTTTAATAAGCTACATATCCACCAGTACCTAAACCAACTATTCCAAAAAATGCAACAAATATTTTCACAAGCTCAGTGTTTGAAGATCCTTGTTAAGGTGCTGAACTAAAATAGCTTCTAGATGTTTTATTCAGTGATTTTGAGAGTACTAAAATAATCACTAAGATTGTTAATACCTTATTAGCCTGCATTAGACATTCTACCATAAGACATTAACCTTTGGATCATTTTATTATGACTTAAATTATCACAATTAAAAAAAATATTAATAATAAGATTTTGAAGGCTTCATAAGATTTATATCACAAAAATTACAATTTTATTTTATTATAACACAATTTTTATTTTTAATATAGTATATATAATTATTATAGTAATTAGTTAATAATTTCTATAATTATCAAAAGCATTTATTGAAAAAACAAAATCCACCACTCTTTTCCTTCTTATCACTTTCTTTAATAGGTTTCTATTAAGAAAAATAAGAATAATGAAATTACTTTTCCTTTATTTAATCCATTAGTATATGATACTCTTGACTTAATTGACATGTCTTATTGTTCTTATTATGAACACATAGTAGTAGTCACTGAAGTTTAAGGTTATTATTAATTTTAGGAATTTTACAGATTATTTTTACATACTAGAGTGAAAGTTTAACTTCCTGTTTCATATAAGATTTATTCATTATCTAAACCTAATAGGCAATAATATTTTGCTAATACATGGTAAATCATCTTTAGGCTACCCAGATTTTTTTGAAATTTTTAATACATATTCATTTCCTTTTTTCACTTTGAAGTTCTCTCCTAAGTGATTATTGTTAATTAAATTACCTAATTCTTATTAGAATTGACGTAGAGTAAATGTGATAGCATCTTCTACAGTAAAAATGTTAGGTAATTCACACACAATTTACACATACTTATCGTTTTATAATGTAAAAAATGCATATTTCTTATTATATAGCATCTTTTATTCCTATATTTTCAAGTTAAAAATTACTTATTGCATTTAGGGATCATTTTTAGTAAGCTTCATATTATTTAAATGATCAAATTTAGATATTTAATTACTTATATTTTCTATATAAATATATAATTCATATCACGAATTCTCAAATATTAAATATTAATTATATTATATATTTATTTCAGTTTCATGGCTGATTAATTAAAACAATCATAATGGACGGGTCGTAAAATTATAACGTCAGATAATGTTACTAAAGGTATGTATAATATATTATTGAACATCAGGAATTGTGAAAAAATTAAATGAGAAAACAGGTTAATATGAAACAATGAAAGTTGAGATACCAAAATAAACTATAGCATAATAGATTGAAACTACTTTGAATGAAATTAATTAAGGTATTACTTAATAGTACATTCAATAGCAAATGAAATCTCAAAAAAATTATATTAATAATACAATACTTTAAAAGAGTAAGTAACAAGTTTAAGATAAATGGTTGATGAAAAAGGAAAGTAATACAAAAAAGAATAAGAAGAAAGAGAGAAAAATTTGTTGAAAATGATAAAAAATAATAATTTAGAAATCAATATAGCTTAAATGACTGAGGAATAAATAAGAGAAAGACTAAACGAACTTGAATATGAACTTAAAAGTTCTTCTAAGATAAATGAAGTCTTAGCTAAAGAAAAAGAAGTAGCAAAAAAAGAAAATTAAAACATTGAAATTACAAAAAATATTGAAACTTTACAAATAAAATTAGAAGAAAAAAAAAAATTATTAAAAGAGAATAAAAAAGACAATATTATACTAACTAGGTAAAGCTAAGCAAATTAGAAAAAACTTGAGAAAATAGAGAAAGGTTTGGATGAAGCAGCCTAGATTAATTAATTGAATAAAGAATTAAGTCTGCTTAGAGAAAAAGAAAACAAAATTAATGAGAAAAAAAAACAATTCTTAAAAGATTTATCAGAGATTGATGAACGCATAGGATTCTATAAAGATAAGATTGAAAATCTAGAAAAAGATGATAAAGTAAAGGATTTAGAAGACCTTTATAAAAAGGTTTAAGAGAAATGGGAATAGAAGGAAACATAGTTAGAAAAAGAAAAAGATAAAAAATTTCTAGATTTATTAAAAGAAAAATCTAAAGAACAGAAACAAAAAGAAAAGGAAAAAGAAAAGGAAAAGGAAAAAGAAGAAGAATAAGACAAATCTAAAAAATATTAAAGAATTAGTGATTACATAAAAGAAAAAAAGGATGTGAGCAGTCTCAAAGCAGATGAATAGAATTTCATTAAATTATTTTAATTAAAAATAGATTTAGAAAATTAAAAGAAGAAGAAGTAAAAGAAGAATGATTAGGAAAAGGATTAATTAGAGAGTTAGATAAATAATTTAAAGTTAGAAAAAGTGAATATATAGAATGCTATAAAGGAAAGAGAAAGGGAAAGAGAAATGGCAGAAACAAAAGAAGTTGAAGAGAGAGAAAAACTAGAAATGTTGAAAGAAAAGAAGAGAATGGAATAAGAATAGAAAGAGAAAGAAAAATTAGAAAAATAAAAGAGTAATCAAAGATCTTAATTATCACCTTTGAGAGCCAAGTAATAAAAAGATGTTACAACAAAAGAAAAATTAATATAAGAGAAGAAAGAGCAACTTAAACAATTTACAGATAAGTATTTAAAATTGCCAAAAGAAAAATAATTTTTGAAAGAACCATTTAAACTTTCTTATGAATATTTAGAAGAGAAGAGAAAGCGTAAATAGTAGAAACAGGATGAAAAAGATGAAAAAGATAAAGTAGAAGTTAAAGCTTTGAGTATTATTGAGACAGTATGCAGAACAAAACATAGAGGATCAAAGAGAGATTGGTTTGGATATGAACCGAATGAATAAACAATTTAATGTGATGATGTTCACATTTTAGGATAGTTTTCAATAAATCATAGAATAAAGAAAATAACAATCTATCATAATCCAACTGAAGGTTTAATTTACTTATTATGGACTGAATATAGAAAGGAGGATGGTTCTATAATAAGCGGAACTTGGAATGTAAAATATAAATAATTATTAATATAGATCAATTAAGAATTATTAGAAAAGAATAAAGATATTAAGAGAGATGAATTAGATTTGAAAGAGAATGATAAAATAAAATAAATGATAATACGAAGAGATAATAATTTTATATCGTTTATCTAATTTAACACTAAATAAGGATAGTAGTTTAAAGTTGGTAAAGAAGTGATGTAAGTAATTTTGAAATATATTTAAGTGAAAAATAGGATGAGGAGAAGCCAAAAGAGAAAAGTGATGAATAATAAGATAAAAAGGATGGGGATGGAACTGAGAAAAAGGATGATGATCCAGATAAAAGAGATCTAAAAATTGATAATGTTTCTGTTCTATTTACTTTATTTAGTGGTTATTCATAAAGAAATGAGAAGGAATTAGCTATGAGTTACTTTGGATATGAAATAGGAAGAAAATTGACTGCTGAAGAGAATAGATAATATTTAGAAGAGAAATAAAAGAGATTAGAAGATAAGGAGAAAAAAAATAAATTAAAGAAATTAGAAGAAAGTATGGCTAGTGATTTGAATAGAAGTTAAATTAGAAAGAAATGAAAGAAAATTATATTGAAATATATTAATATATTAAATATATATATAAATGTATGTAAATTTGAAATGAAAATTAAATCTTTTTTATTAAATATAGAGAAAAATGGCAAATTAGGTCGAATTCAAATAGCTCGGTTTCTTGAGAGGTCATGCTGATTGGGTTACCACAATAATCACTAATTAAGACCCAACTTTGGCTGATTTAGTAATTTCAGGTTCAAGAGATAAATCAGTTCTTGTTTGGAAATTATTCAAACAACCAGATGGTGAATTGGCTGGTTAACCAAGAAAATAATTGAAAGGACATTCTCACTTTGTTAGCGATTTGGTTTTATCAAATGATAACAAATATTTGTTATCAGCCTCATGGGATAAGGAATTGAGATTCTGGGATTTGGTCAATGGAACTTGTACAAATAGATTTGTTGGAAATAAAAAGGAAATCTTCACATGTGCTATGAGTCCAGATAACAGATAAATTCTTTGTGGTGGAGCTGAAAGAAAATTCAAATTGTACAATGTTAAAGCTGAAGAAAAACTTACCTAATAAAACCATTTCCATGCTGATTGGATTAGTTGTGTAAGATATTCACCAATCATTAAAAATATCTAACCATACTTTGTTACAGTTGGTTGGGATGGTTGGCTCAAAGTTTGGAATTAAAATTTCACTATAAGATTCTAATTCAAGGCTCATGATTCTTAAATTAATAGTGTTGCTATCAATCCATCTGGTGAATATATTGCTACAGGAGGTAAAGATAAAAAATTGTACATTTGGAATATTACAGATTTGAAGAAACCAGCATTTGAATATGATGCAGGAGGTATCATTAATTAAGTAAAGATATTTATTTAATTATTAGCTTGCTTTCCATCCATAATAAAATTGGATTGTTGCTGCTACAGAAAATGGAATTAAGGTTTGGTAAATTTCATAAGAAGAAAAAGCAGAAACCAAAACACCAATTGTTACATTAGATCACCACACTGAAAGTATTAATTATAATATAATCTATTAGCTGCCGTTGCTGGAGGAGTGAAGAAGATTCAAAAGCATGGAGCCGTTTCTGTTGCCCTTGATGCCAATGGTGCTAAACTCTATGGAGGATTCACTGATGGATCAATCTTAGTTTGGGAAGTTTCAACCAAAAATTGAGATAATTATGTACATTAAAACAATTCCAATAATCATACACTATAGGCATAACTGTGAAAAAAGTTAATAGCTTTTTTAATACGACTGCCTATTAAGTTAGGAGGAAGGCGTGCTTAGTGAAAATGATTGTTGGAATTTTAATACAATATAAACAATTTAACACTTTTTGAAAGTCTTATTTATACTCATTTTTTATAAGACTTTCATATTTAATTATAATAGATGTTTATAAATATATTTGATTATTTATATATATCTATATATTTATCAACCATAATTCATATTTCATGTTTTAATTTTGATTAATCAAATTTCAATCTAGGTGCAATATTCATTGAAATTAACTCTTAAATCAATGTCTTAGCAGCATAAGGAATTAAAACTTAGTAAATTTAATTTTATTGATTAGAATTCTTGCAAATATTACAATAAAACTCTTGATTCTCTAAATTAGCAACTGCAAACAATCCACATTTTGAACATACATGAACTCTAAATGCATCAGATACATCATAAGTTCTTTCTTTTAAAAATTTAGCAGTTCCTATAAAAATAATTAAACATAATAATAATACCGTGTGATATAATACAATCTCTTTCCATTTCACCAAATCTCAAACCTCCTTTTCTACTTCTACCATGAGTAGGTTATCTTGTAATTCCAGTAACAGGACCTCTAGAACGAGCATACATTTTATCATCAACTAAATGTCTTAATCTTTAATAATATGTTGGTCCAACAAAAATTGGAATTTGGAACATGTTACCCGAATATGGATTAGTCATAACTTCATTACCCCATTTTTACCATCCTACTTCATGTAATTCTTTAGCTATATCATTTACTGAAATTTAAGCAAATGGAGTAGCATCATTAAATTAACCTTTTATTGATGCTAATTTTGATGATAGACACTCAATTAAATGCCCTATTTTAGATATATAATAATATAAATACCAATAGTCATTCTTGATGGAATGCAATGTGGATTAATAGTTAAATCTGGAGATATACCAGTTAAAGTGAATGGTAAATCTTCTTATCGATAAGTCATTCCACAAGTACCTTTTTAACCATGTCTACTACAAAACTTATCTCCAATTTAAGGAATTCTCAATGATCTTACTTTAACCTTTACTAATTTATATCCTTTCTAATTTTCACTTATTAAAACTGAATCTACTACACCTCTCTCTGCTCTTCTTGTTAGTAATGAACATTCCTTTGTATTCTTTTATCCATTTGCTGTATTTAACATAATATTATCAATGATTAATTCTTTTCCAATAATAGGTTCCTCTTCATCTACTTTAGTACCTGGTGGTACAATTCCATCACTATCTAATTTTATAAATAATTTTCCTGCAAAGTTATCCCCAATTGGTTTTGTAATTTTTGTTTCAGTAAAATTATCAGGATCTTTATCTTCAGATTCCTTGTAAGTTCTATAAAAGACAGATCTAAAGAATCCTCTGTCAATTGCATATTAATTAATAATGATGGAATCTTCTTAATTATAACCTGTAAAACAAGCAATTGAAGTAACACAATTGATTCCTATTGGTACTTCATTAACTGTAATAAAATCAACAGCCTTAGAAGATGCTAATGGTTTTTAAGGATAATGGAGAATATGCACAAGAGTATCAAATCTTATATTAAAATTTGTAGAATTTAATCCCATAGCTTATTTTCCCATAGCACTTTGTAAAGTATTTCTAGGTCCTTAATTATGATTTGCAAATGGTATAACTGAAGCACAAACTCCAAACATCATACATGGATGAATTTCACAATGAGTATATCTTTTAAAATTTGATGTTCCTCTGCTCATAATATTAAGATCCATGGCAATTAATGATCCTTCTTCTTCTTCAACATCTAATAATTCAACACATTTATTTTATAATAATTATTCCCAATCTCTAAATGAATTAAGTTAATTTTTCTTTAATTTTAATTTATTATCTTGAACAATAAATAATGGTCTCATACATCTACCAGCATCTGTGTAGATTCTGATTTCTTTGTTAACATAGTCAAAATTAATAGAAACTTCAATAGGAATAAAACTTTCTTCGGCTGATCTTAAATTTTTGAATTCTTATATAAATTATTCAGGATTTCTCGTAAATCCAATCCAATTACCATCAACTAAAACTTTTGTCATTTTAGGAATATCTGATGCCTAAAATTCCCCTTATAACAATTAAAAATCAAAAACATCTTATTTCATAACCATTATCAATCTTAATAAGGCTTCTTTATCTTTTTATTAAAGATCATTTGAAACAGCAGTCATTAATGACAAATTTTTAACGATTCCAATTTTTTATCCTTCAGGTGTTTCTGCTGGACAAATAAATCCAAAATGTGTATTATGCAATTATCTTGGTTTACTCAATTTCATTTATGGATTAATTGGAGCATTCATTCTTCTTAAATGACTTAAAGTTGCAAATAGAGATGTTTCTCTTTTCAAAGTTTATGCAACTCCTGTTTTAACAACTTATCCCTCTTTACTTCTACCCCAATTACCAGTTGCCAAAGCATTATCAATATCTTTTGATATCTATTCTCCATCAAAAAATGATTTAATATCATCTGGTTGTCTCATATTTTCAATTTTTGTTTATTGACCTTTTCCTCTTCTTCCTCCATTTATATATTTTTCAAGTGCTTTTTTAGCATTTTATTTAAATGATTCAAAAGATGTCTTAAAAACACCCATCATCATAGCACCAGCCATATCTAATCTTTTTTTTCCATAATGATCTCTATCATCTTAATCTGTTTTTCCTAAAGATGCATTCAATAATCTATGAACTATATATCCAATAAAATATGCTTTTCTATCTCTACTCTCCGATGAAACTCCTATATGAGGTAAAATATTTTTGTTAATTAATTTCTTAGCTTCCTATATTAAAGTTTCTGGATCTTAATTTTCAGCTTTTTTTATTTTATTACCTATCCATCTTAAACATAATTCTTCATCCTCATATTCACCTCCTTCTTACAATGATCCATATAGCATTTCTAACATAGGACCCATCTATTCATCCTCCAAATTATACACTATTCTCTCTAAGATTTCTAAATCACTACTAATTCCTAAAGCTCTAAAAAGAGTAAACAATGGTATTCCTTATGTGGAATTAAATTATTTCACACTACATCTTATTACAGGTGTATTTTAGATGTATCTTAATTCAACCTTAAAATTATTTGGATTAGACCACAAATCAGGTTAAGATCTTATTTCTGCTACCCAAGGCTTATTAACTATTTTGCTTTTGAAAACCAAAACTACGTTGTTTGCTATTCTCTCTTATGCTACTATAACCTTTTCTGATCCTCTTAATATAAAATATCCACCCTAATCAAATCCACATTCACCACTTAATATTCTCTACTATATAGAATCAGGATCTTTTGGATCTTTAGGTAATGAACAAAATCGACTTCGAACCATTATTGGTAGTTTAAAAAATGGCAAACCTTTAAATGTTTATTTACTTTTCTCTTCAATTGAACCATCACGTTTATTTCTCTACTACATTGTCACTTCTAAATCGATTTTTAATTATCTTGAATAAGTCAAATCTCTTAATCTTGCAATCATTGGATATATTTCCTCTTCAAATTTATCTATATGAATATTCTTTTTTCCCATAAAGCATCTTATTATTTAGAATTAATATAAATATTCAGTCTATGCTAAATTTTATTAATTTATTTATTACCATCCATTCTCTCCTCTTCCTTATACTAAGGTTTTACTCTTACTACAAATGTCCCCTCGTGACCTCTAACATACTTGATGATATTTTCTACAAAGCTTTCATATGAATTTATCTATTAAGACACCAATCCATGGGTTTAAAAAAACATATGAAGTACTTTCCAAATATCATCATTATTTAACTTTTAACTTTCATCTTCATCTTCCTCTTAGATTGAATCATCAGAAAACAACCTTTAATCTTCTTCCTCAACTTATGACATTTGAGGTAATTTTTTAGTTAAAAAATTTATAAAAAATTAATTTAAATCATTGAATAAGAATTAAAATATGAATCTAATATTAGGGATTTCTAAAAGGTGTTTTTTATTAAATCATTTAGAATCTAATCTATGAGTAAAATTCATGTCTAAGTTAAATTTCTTTCAAAATTGTTTTCATTTTTGTAAAATGAGATGAATAAAGACAAAAGTATATATTTCAAAAAACAGAATGGTTGCTTAGAAAATAAAATCAAAAGGCAAAATATTTTAGAGCTATAATATTGAGTAAAAAGAATCATATCAATTAAATGAAAATTAAAAGATCAGAAAAATTATTAATTTATGAAAAAAGAAGGAGAATTACAAAAAACACATTTTTTATTATTTATTAAGCATAATTAATAATTTACTTCTAAATCATGTAAATTTTTAGTTTAAAATTAAATTATTTTTGAATTCTCAACATTCTTCGACAAAGTTTGTTGTGGTCTTTTGATTTCAAACTAACAAATTATTGATAACAGAAAATTAACCTTATTATTTTCTCTTTATATTTTCAGTATTTATCAAATCAAAATCATTTTATCTAAATCGATTATAGATTTCCAAAAAAAAGTTTAAGACTTTCTTTATTTTCAGATTATATTAAGGGATGCTTTTCTGGAATAACCTTAAAAACGTTTTCCTTCTTATTCTGATTCAAATTTTTCTATTTTTTAATTGATACTTCAAAGCTGTTATTCATAAGATGAGTATTTTTAACTAAGGAAATCACATTAAATTTTATCAATCTTCAAATTTCAGATGTATGCTTTAGGTCTAATTCTCTCTTCGATTTTACATTAATGTTTTTTAATTTATGGGCTTGTTAGTCAATTTGGTTCTCATTTGATTTTATACAATTCTAGGAATATATTTTAGTTCAATAATTTTTTTTATTTTAAATTTCAATCAATATTTAAATAGTAATTTTATATCTTTGAGCCAAATTATTCCCGCATAAAAAGCATAATTGTCCCTACTTTCAAGTCAATTAATGCAAGTTTTTAATCTTTATTGCCAATTATTTTATAACTTATTATCTTCGGTTCCATTTTACAATTTCTAGCTTAATTTTGCAATCAATAATAAGTGGAGTATTTTTTTATTTTTCCATTCAACATTTCTGTATATTCAATTTAATTTAATGTAATGATAAGGGGAACTTTTCTCAATTTAATAACTCTAGTATATAGTTTTCTTATCAATGCAGTTAATCAATCACTTAAATAGCTAAATCATTTATGAAGAACAACTAGTTCTTTAATCATTCACGTCTTGGAGTATCAATTATTACAAAGTTTTATTAATTCTTCTTTTATTTTTTTAGATTAAAAAAAAGCAAGAAAAGGTAATATTTTATGATACTCGCTCCCTGCTTTGATCATGAACATTTTTCAATCTTAATATTAAATATTTTTCATAACGACACTTTTTTTTAATATTTCAAATTCACAACATTGATAATTTTTTTAAGATTTAATTTTTCTCTGGATAACCTTCATTTAATGCATTTTAGTACCATTATTAAGCCTCTTTTTTTTACCTAAAGAAAATAAAACAAATAATAAATTAGTTTTTATTAGAATATCAGCTATTAGATTATTTCAACTTTTACCTTTTGATTTCATTAGAAGAGCATTTTTATCAAAAGATTTCATTTTATTATAATCTTCAAGCTTTTCCAAACATTCTTCGATTTTTTGTATAAACCATTTAATAATTCTTTACATAAGGCATTTTCTTAAATATTTTAAGATTAAACTTTTTGCAAATTAAGATGCAATATTTTTTGGATTTAATTTAATAATTATATCACATTGATCAATGGCCTCTTATATATTGTTCAATCATGTAATGCTTAAGCTATAAATATTATTAGTTTTTGAAATAAATACATTTAATAATATAAGCTTTTTCATTTTTTGGATTTAATTTAATAGCTTTATCTGTTTATTCATTTGCTTCCTAATATCTATGCAAATTATATAATGAACTTGCTAAATTAAATTTTTTTTAATTCATTTACAATTCCAATAATAAAGAGTATCATTATCTTGCTCTATTATTAACCCATTTTCAAATTTTTTTAATGCTTCATGATATTTTTTCTGATTAAATAATAGTATACCTAATTTATTATTTAATATTACCTTCATCTAATTAACATTTACTTTCTGTTAATTTATTGTTTTCATTTTCTTATGATTTTAGCAATCCTGATTATTCCTAAATTTAATTCTTATTTGTATCGACTTAAAGTTTTTTTTATTTTTTATTCTCGTTTATGATATAAGTGAAATCTTCAAGAAAATTTTACAATTATTGTATTTTTTGTAATTTTATTCAAATAAATTATGATTTAATCTAATTTAAGTTTGACCAAAGACTAAATTTATCATCTTATTCTTTTAAATGGGTTGGTAAATAATTTTGATTTTTCGCAAGATTCTCACTTAATTTTTCAACAACTAAAAAGATGACTATTTAAAGTCTTAAAACCTTTATTTTATGATGAATAAATAAAGATGGTTATTAGGGTAAATATTTTAAATAAAAAGTAATCTTTGTTTGATTAATGAAAATAATGGCAAAGAATTTGTTGGATTTTCCCCTTCTAGTAAAGATTTTATCATAAAAAATTTAGAAAGAAGATTAATATTTAATTTTACATTAAACGAATGAATCATAATTATTTCAGTGGTTAATGAGATTTATCTTATAGGTTTTAGTTTATTTGGTTTAAATTTATAACTGACTTAATATTTTATCCAAATTATTTTTATAAATTTTATTAAGTTAAATTGATTCATATAAAATGACAAAGCTGTCGAAACTTATTTAAATTATTTTGAATAAAAAGGTCTTGTAAAATAAAGTAAAGTTTATGAAATTTAAGGTACCAATTTAACGAAAGGTTCATAAAGAAATAATTGTACTTATTTTTATATTTGCATTTTGAATTAATTAATGGTAAGGTTTTTCTGCTGAAGTTGATGTAACTCAATTTTTTATTCATGAATAATTTCTATTTTTTTAAATATTCCATAGTAAATGAAGTGAATAGCAAAATAAAAATCATAAAATTAATTAAATGTATAATTGATATTTATTTTAGCTAAACTGAATGAAAAAATTAGATGGAAGAATTAAATTTTAATTGTTATAAATTATTATAAATAATTTTTGCAATTTTAAGTAAAATTATATATCTAGAAGAATTAAAATAATAATAGGAGTTGAGAGTTGTTAAGTTTATTTTTTTTACATCTTATGAGGTTTTATGAAACCAAAATTTAATCTTAATAAAGAATAATATCTATATATTTATTGGAGTATTAATCAATCGTTGAAAAAGAAGAGACAAAAATCAGAATTTTTAATTTTTTTTATGTTTTTGTTTTAATCAATCTTTTTTTGTTCTTTATTGGGAAAATAAAAATATGGACAATTTTCAAACCAATTAATTTATCCATGATTATCTAAAATAGTTGTTTTAATATGGCTAATAAATAGAATATTTAAAAAATATTGTTAAAAGACATCTACTAATTTAAGCAAATACTTAATTTTCAAGTTTAATGAGAAAAAATTGTTAAGGAATAATTATATTACTGAATTTTGTTTTTTAATACCCCAACCATAAAAAAATATTTCTTTAATCAATTAATTTTTTCCAATCAAAAAAACTTAAAAAAATAATTGATAAATTTATTTAAATCAAATATCTGATTATTAAATTTGTAAAATGATTTCTTCTTATGTTTATAATACCTAAGTGATTTTGCAATAGGCACTAGATATATATAATACTAATTATTGATTAGTTACCATGGTTTAAGTAAACTTACCAGTGTAAATAAGCGTATTAATCGCTCCATAACAGTTATGAGAGAAGTTGGTATATTTTTTATTTTAACAAGAGTTGCACTTATTGAATTAACTTACATATTTTTTATTTTTGAAACATTTTGTGTGAATTTAAATAATTATAACTAATTAAGAGGTTGTTAAATTTATTGTATACTGCCCAATATCTTTATATATTAATTTTAAATCTGGTAAAGATATTTAAATAGTTGGCCGAGTGTCAGCTTAAAGGTCTTTTATTTATGTTATTCTAAGTGTTGTGCATTCCATAGGTTTAGGTTATTTGCTAATTTAAAGTACCATATGGTTGTTTTAGATATAATAACTCTTTCCTTCAGAATCTGATTTATATTAAATATTGGTGGAAGTTTAAGTTATTGTTTGCTTCAATGTTATGTTTTCTGTATCAGGAATATGCCAGAAGCCATAAAAAGGAGTTATAAAATATGAGTTTGGTTTAATTTCATAAAGTGGACTAGTAAAAGGAGAAGATGCACTGATTGAATCCAATTAAGATATCATTCCAAATTCACCAAGAATAACTTAAAATCCTAGTGTCCTTAAATTCGCAATATTAGTGGTTTCAACTGTAATATGCGTTGAATTCATCTCTTTGACCTAGCAATAACGATGATAAGTACTTATATTTTAAAATTGATTTCATTGGTATATCCAAAAGCAAAAAGACTTATAAATGCAAAACTTGCATAAGGAATTGAATGCTAATATGTTATAAGTTGATTTGGCACTGTATTAAATGCATTTATTACAAATAAGGAATCACTATCTATAGCAATCCACCTAAAACCGAAAGTATATAATGTTGGACTATTACAGTTAATCCCTGCAGTAAAATCTTATATAATAATTTTTTAAATTACAAGTTCTTGTAAGCTCTACCAAACTAAAACTAACTCCAAGATTATTTGGTGTTGATTCATAATATTCCATCGTTAATATTAATTTTGGGACATTTTGAAAAGCTGATGTGAAATAAAATGAACGAGCTCTATAATAGCCCCAACATTGAAAATTATTATTTTTATCCCATAAGACAGTATTTGAATCGCTGTAAAAAGTTGCGTTTGAGAGTATGAATAAAATAAAATTGAGTAATGGGATCATTAATTAATTAATTTTCAAAATAATATAATTTATTTATCTAGAAGTAAATCAATATCTTGCTTATCCTTATTTTTAGGTTAAAAAATTACATGCAAAAATAAAACTAAATTGCATCTCATTTGTTTACAAAAAAATTTCAATTTTGGACTGAGCGAATTTTTCTTTTCTCTTAAAAGTTTGAAAAATATTTTTTCAAAGTGTATTTTTGTTTATTTGATAAAATTGTTATTGTGCATTTTATCTTAATAGTAACTACTTTAGATAGAAAAAATTTTCCCTTTGAATTTTTTTAGTAAAATAATCAAATTAATGTTGAGACTTTGTGTAATTTTTTTTCATTCCTCAATATCATATTTATATTGACCATTCTTTATTTAACTAAAAAGTTCTTTCAGTTATGATTTGGCTATAATTATAATTCTCATTCATTCCACTATATCATTACTTGATGAAAAACAAACCAAAATTTCTAGACAAGTCAACCACTTAATTTTTTGAATGCTTAAGATGTTATGTCAAAAAGCATATAACTAATTAAAATATCTTTTTAACAATAGTTATTTAAAATATTTTTTGAATATTCTAAAATGCTGTGCAACAAAAATCTAATTTCCATTAAATGCTGTTCAAATGAAATAACATTTCATAAATTATTTTAACTATAAGAAACCTTTATTGGTTTTCTTTTATATAATAATAGCCTTTAAAGGAAAATCTATAATAGAGATTCTAATATTTTCCAAAATAAAATCATTTTAGTCTTATTTATTTTTATATAGCCAGCAAATTATCTATTTATGACAAAATAAATGAAAACGGGTTTCATTTAAAAATAAAGTTTAAAAATTGATAAATTTATAAGATAATGTAGAATTTTTTTTATTTAATATTTCAATATTTCGTTTGGGTCTCAAATTTTGGGTAATATGTTGTTAATAAAATCATAAATTATTAACACTAAAGATTCGTTGATGTGTTTTCTAAATGATCAAGAATTACCTCTAAAGAATCCTGTTATACTCTCTTTTTAGAATATCTCCTTAATCAAACCTAAAATACATTAAAAATAATTATTTCGATATACAATTTTTTATGATCTACTCTACTATTATCTATTATTCAAATTTACCAAACCAAATTGCTCTGCGAATACACCTGGAAGTTAATAGCATAATTCAGTAAACAAGTTATTTAATTTAATTTGAGCTTGTTTAATTCTTATTGGATTAATCAATTGTATAATCATTTAAAAATCAAGATAATACACTACTATCAATCATATTATTTCTGGCATACCTCCACTTGTCAGAGAGCACAACAATAACCTTTATTATAAAAAGAAATAACTTTCNATTTTTATCCCATAAGACAGTATTTGAATCGCTGTAAAAAGTTGCGTTTGAGAGTATGAATAAAATAAAATTGAGTAATGGGATCATTAATTAATTAATTTTCAAAATAATATAATTTATTTATCTAGAAGTAAATCAATATCTTGCTTATCCTTATTTTTAGGTTAAAAAATTACATGCAAAAATAAAACTAAATTGCATCTCATTTGTTTACAAAAAAATTTCAATTTTGGACTGAGCGAATTTTTCTTTTCTCTTAAAAGTTTGAAAAATATTTTTTCAAAGTGTATTTTTGTTTATTTGATAAAATTGTTATTGTGCATTTTATCTTAATAGTAACTACTTTAGATAGAAAAAATTTTCCCTTTGAATTTTTTTAGTAAAATAATCAAATTAATGTTGAGACTTTGTGTAATTTTTTTTCATTCCTCAATATCATATTTATATTGACCATTCTTTATTTAACTAAAAAGTTCTTTCAGTTATGATTTGGCTATAATTATAATTCTCATTCATTCCACTATATCATTACTTGATGAAAAACAAACCAAAATTTCTAGACAAGTCAACCACTTAATTTTTTGAATGCTTAAGATGTTATGTCAAAAAGCATATAACTAATTAAAATATCTTTTTAACAATAGTTATTTAAAATATTTTTTGAATATTCTAAAATGCTGTGCAACAAAAATCTAATTTCCATTAAATGCTGTTCAAATGAAATAACATTTCATAAATTATTTTAACTATAAGAAACCTTTATTGGTTTTCTTTTATATAATAATAGCCTTTAAAGGAAAATCTATAATAGAGATTCTAATATTTTCCAAAATAAAATCATTTTAGTCTTATTTATTTTTATATAGCCAGCAAATTATCTATTTATGACAAAATAAATGAAAACGGGTTTCATTTAAAAATAAAGTTTAAAAATTGATAAATTTATAAGATAATGTAGAATTTTTTTTATTTAATATTTCAATATTTCGTTTGGGTCTCAAATTTTGGGTAATATGTTGTTAATAAAATCATAAATTATTAACACTAAAGATTCGTTGATGTGTTTTCTAAATGATCAAGAATTACCTCTAAAGAATCCTGTTATACTCTCTTTTTAGAATATCTCCTTAATCAAACCTAAAATACATTAAAAATAATTATTTCGATATACAATTTTTTATGATCTACTCTACTATTATCTATTATTCAAATTTACCAAACCAAATTGCTCTGCGAATACACCTGGAAGTTAATAGCATAATTCAGTAAACAAGTTATTTAATTTAATTTGAGCTTGTTTAATTCTTATTGGATTAATCAATTGTATAATCATTTAAAAATCAAGATAATACACTACTATCAATCATATTATTTCTGGCATACCTCCACTTGTCAGAGAGCACAACAATAACCTTTATTATAAAAAGAAATAACTTTCTAGTATCTAAGAATTTAAGTTTCTAGATTTTCATATATTTTTATATTTATCTGAATTATATGAGGATATGTTTGATTTTTCTTCTTTTATTTTAACTAATTTCCACTCAAAAATAAATCTTTTTTTGTTTGTTTTAATTAAAGGCAAATAGATCAAAATAATTTCCAACAGGAATTTCATAAGAATTCCTATTATGTTAAATATTTAAATATTTAAGATTTTCAGAAAATAAAATAATTTAGTTGCTTTAAAATGTATCTAATAATGTTGCTATCATTAAATGTGAAAATTTTTCGTATAAATTATCTATTAAGACAACTAACTACCTCATTATTCAGTATCATTCTATTTTGGATACATATTTATTGGATTATTTTCTTATAAAATAGGTTATTTAAACAGCGTATTTTAAGGACCATTTTTTATTCTGAAGGAGAATTAAATTAAATTTGTTGTAATCATATAAAACTTACTTGTTTTTCATTATGCACATTCGAATAAATTTTATGATAATAACTAATACATAATCTTCAAAGAATTTCTAGCTAATAAAATGAATTTGTTAGAAGGATTTTGTGCAATATCAGTGTAATTCATTATAAATGATATATCTTGTGTAAACCATTTACATTTTTCCAAGAAATTTTTTTAATGTATTCAAATTGTGGATAGAAAATAATTGTTGATGAAGAGGATTATTCTTCAGTTTTTTTTTAGGGAATATTTTTAATATTCTCATATTTTGGAGGAATCTTAAGTAAATTACTGATATCATCGACAAAAGATTAAGTTAACTCTGTTAAACGAACTTTATTAGTAATTAAGATAATTAAACATATTAGGTTGAATTTCTAATATGTTACAATGTAAAAGTAAATGCATTATTCTTTTTTAATTTTTTGTCGTAATTGTAATATTTTTCATATTAAATATTATTTTAATACTAAAATGATTTCATTACAACCATTGTTATAAATAGAAAACATCATTCTTTATTCATAAATTTTAAAAAGGGGCATATTAACCAAATTTTCAGCTCATAGGTTTTGTTTACTATGCCTATTCTTTGCTAGATATATTGGCGCTGGGGCCCCCTAAAATCGTCTAAGATTAGCGAGTGTACTTCTTTTACTAGCATTTAAAGATGAAATTATAATTTATTTTATAATAATTCAATTATTGAATTATTTTTCACATTTATTTGTCAAATAGCCATTTACAATTCAATCTTTAACCCTCAGCTGATTTAAATTGCCCTTATCCGTGTCTTTAATCATTAAGCCATTCCCCATCATATAAAGATCCATCAGCAAATTTCATTTGACCCTTTCCTGCTCGCTTATCCTCTTTCCAATCACCTAAATATTCAGCTCCATCAGCCCATTTATATTAACCCTTTCCATGCATTTGACCATTTACAAAATCTCCATCATAATAATCTCCATTAGCCTTTTTATATTATCCCTTCCCTTGCATTTTATCATTGAAATAATCTCCAC